GCAGGAAAAGTGAGCACAGCAGAGTTTATCAAATTACTACTGATCTCTGGTGACTGAGTGCCCTTCAAGGCAAACACCTCAGAGGGAGGAACTCTGTGATTCACGGCTCCCTACTGCCACCAAGTGGACAAAATCTCATCAGTTCATCAGGGTGGTTTTTAAGAAAAGCGAATCTATTAAGCTGATTCATTGTTTCTAATTTCAGTCCATTATTTCATTGAAAAATGTCTAGAATTTATTCCCACAGCAATTCACCCATTCCCCAAGCAATTCCCCTGGAATGAAAGGAGGAAAGAGAAAAATGATATTATGATATTTGCTCCTTAATTCATTAAATAACAACTTTACATCAGTCTGGTAACTATTTACATTATTTACAGCCATCCTTTCTCCTCCTTTTTTATCCCTCTTCTTATCACCTCCTTCTTTTCTGCTCCATATTTTCTCCTCCTTTTTTCCTCATTCTTTTTACCTCCTTTTCTCCTTCTTTTCTTCTCCATCTTTTCACCTCCATATTTTCTCCTCCTTCTTTTCACCTCCTTCATATCTGCTCCATATTTTCTCCTCCTTTTCTCCTCATTCGTTTTACCTCCTTCTTTTCTCCTCCATCTTTTCTCCTCCTTCTTTTCTCCTTAATCTTTTCACCTCCATCTTTTCTCCTCCTTCTTTTTACCTCCTTCTTTTCTCCTCCTTCTTTTCTGCTCCATATTTTCTCCTCCTTTTCTCCTCATTCTTTTTACCTCAGTCTTTTCTCCTCCTTTTTTTCTTCTCCATCTTTTCACCTCCATATTTTCTCCTCCTTCATATCTGCTCCATATTTTCTCCTCCTTTTCTCCTCTTTCTTTTCTCCTCCTTCTTTTCTCCTCCATATTTTTTTATCCCTCTTTTATCCTCCATCTTTTTTACTCCTTCTATACACCTCCTTCTTTTGTCCTCCTTCTTTTCTGCTCTGCTCTCCAGCCTACAGAGGATGGTTTTATTAAATATGGACCAGACAGCTGTTTACCAACAGCTGCATTAAAGCAATAAACCAAAGACATCTTCAGAACCGGCCGCTCTGCATCTGGACAGAAAAGCTTCAGATAAAAACCCCCAGTGGAGGAATTTATAAAAGTCTCCAATTAAAAACCAACTGGTGATCTCCAATGGAGCATTTTACACGGCACCATCACCACAAACTGGTTTTTCTCGGTTATTAATGGGAGTGTTTTAAACCAGTATCCTATCTGCGGTCTGTCTGAAAATGTGTTCCATGTTTTTATGGAAAAAACAAGAGTAAAGACCATTTTTAGTGTTTTAATTAATGTTTTTAGTCTTTTGGGGAAGGTTTTTTCAAATGCTCTATTCATAGGAGGAGTTTGCCAGAACAGGAGAAATAAGTCAAAGGCGCGACTTCTAAATGTTTTAATCCGTGTAGCAAATATGTGGGTTTACCTGTCTGCAGAGACAGAGTGCAGGAGGGAGCTCACCTTGACGCCGTGGATCTGTGTAAGGTTAAACCCAGGATAAGGCTGGAGTTTAGATTCCACAGAGACTCACAGAACATGGAGGATTTATTCAGCTGTGGGGTTTTAACAACATTTTATGTTCTGTGTCAGATGAAGGAAAACTACAGTTTAACATTTAATGATTTTTAGCCGACACTTGTTTTTACCTTAATAGTGATTTTAATGTAAAATTGTGACACCGCGGTCTAATTCTGCATTATGAAAAATAGTGATTTGCAATATTCATGTTTTAATACAACGGTACGGAATTTAATTGTATTTAGTTCTAACTAAAATATTCCGACACATTTTTTTTTAAATTCATGGTTAATTGTAAAGATGTACTCATATTTGTGCAGGTCTTTCTCTCTGCGGGACGCCATTTCTCCTCTTGCTGAATGAGTTTGCAAAGTATTCTGGGAATCTACTTTGTTCCAAGGTCAGCTCCTGACCTCACTCAGTCTGAGGGATCATTTTAAGGGATGGAAGGCACTTCCTCCTAGCTTTTACAACTATTGGGACACACTACCCTTACACAGGAATGCACCAAACCGAGTGCAAGTGAGAGAAATGGGACTGAGCCTTCAATCTAGACTCAACTTTATTTATCTCCCACTGATCAGGCTCCTCTGTTGGGTGAAGACAGTGTGCAAAGGGTTGCTAGCATTGTCCATAATGTCCAGCAGTTTAAGTGTCCTTGTCTCTGCCACCGTCCTTAGAGGATCCAGCTTCCAGCTAATCACTGGCCTTCACCAGTTGGTCCAGTCTGGAGGTGTCCTTCATGGATGTGCTGCTCCCCCAGCACCCCACAGTGTAGAAGAGGACCCTGCATCTGCAGACTGGTAGAACATCTCCAACAGCTTATTGCAGATGTTGAAGGACCTCAGTCTCCTCAGGAAGTCCATCCTGCTCTCTGTCTTCCTGTGCAGGTGGTTGGTCTTTGTTAACCAGTCCAGTTTATTTTCCAGCCACACTCCAATCCACAGCCTCAGCCTCCGTCTCCTGCAGTAGTACCGGCTGCAGTCTTTGGTCCGCTCCTCCCAAAGTCTATGACAACCCAGTCTGTCTATGACCAGCTCCTTCATCTTGGAGATGTTGAGCTCCAGGTGGTTGGTGCGGCACCAGGTGGTGAAGTCCCTCACCAGACTCCTGTCCCTGACCCTGATACACCCTACAATGGCTGTTCATCCTTCTGGATGTGACACAGCTCAGAGTTGTAGCAGAAGTCTGAGGTGAATAAGAGGTGTGGAAGAAAAATAAATTACATTAGGATTTCTTCTCATCCGTAATTGGCGACAGTCAGAACAAACTGAGTCGCCGAGCGGCTGATTAGGGGAATCCTTGTTGACACGTTCAAAAGTTCAGTCCAACATGATCGGTCCAACACATCCTTTTGTTTTATCGACCTTCAAAACATGCAATGCAGCATACAAGAAAAAAACAAATCCACAGGTTCGAGCCGTGATAAAGCGCAGAAGAGAACTAAAAAAAACATCCAAAGCTTAAAGCCGTCAGCAAAAAGTAGACATCCCCATCACCACTCACTGAAACTCATCAGGTGAGCAAAACAGGTGATCTTACAAATCACTGCTGACACCATGTGATCAAACTATGCCTATCCACCACATCCGTTTTTGTTTCACTGCAAAAAGAAGGTTCTCCATTTTGCATTAAAACCACATAAAAAAATTAAAACTAAATAGCTGCTTGTTTTTTGGTTGGACATCCTGAGGGATAACGTGCAGACAAGAACTTTTCAGAATTTTGTTTTGGCAAGGCAAGGCAAGGCAAATTTATTTGTATAGCCCAATTCAGTACAAAGTCAATGCAAAGTGCTTTAAATGATTAAAATACAGGAAGATAAAACAGAATCAGAGCAAGTAGAAGAAAAAAATAAAAAAAACGCAGAAACAAGAAAGAACATTAAAAGCTGTTGGACTAAAGAAAATAAAAAAGTTGAACTAATGATGTTTCAGTTGAACTGTTTAACTAGAACAGTGGAAGGCAATCCTAAAAAAAATGTGTTTTTAGTCTTGATTTAAAGGAACTCAGGCTTTCCGCATTTTTACAGTTTTCTGGAAGTTTGTTCCAGATAAGTGGAGCATAGGAACTATTTTGGCTTCGTTTGTTTCTTTGTTCCCATTAAATAAATGTTGTAACCACTAATGGGCTGTTTCTCAATCTGTGTACTGGTGCGTCCTCGTGTGTTCGTGAAACGTCATCAGCCTCAGCCCCAGCACTGTTTTCAATGCACAAGAACAAAAAGACAGAGAACGTAAAAAGTCCCCCGATGTTGTTCTCGCCCCTCCCTCTTTACCCAGCATGCATCAGAGCAGCTTGCATCCGTTCTCCAAATTGACAGCTGTCCCAGCATGCAGCTTCCAGGTGAGCTTCCGATATCTGTAATCGGATTACATAGATCTGAAATTCATTTTTAGATATCCAGAATGTTTATTTTAGATAGGACTAATGTCAATTCGGATATCTGAAGGTAATAGCCCAATACACATGAATGGGGAAAGTATCGTTATTTGTACTAGTAAAAATCACATTTAGATATCTGAAGTCTTAATTTTAGATAGAAAATTCAAGTTAGAACTTACTTGTACAAATTTGTGTCTAAAGTAATTAAAATAAAAATTTTGCTGGTAAGAATGTAATTATTCTTCAATAAGATTCTAACTAGGATTGTTGAAATTGTGACCAATAATAGAAACTAATAGAAATGTGACTGTCAGCCTGCCTATTTGATCTTAAAATGGAGCCTCATTATTCTTTTGAAAGTTAGTCAAACAACGTTTTTAAGTATCTAAAACTGCATGTTGGATCGGCATTATTAAAATGTCGATATCTGAAATTCCAATTGAACTAGTCATATATCATTATTTGATATCTGTTAGGACATTTCTACAATTAGAAATATATGTTTGATGTCAATAATTGGATATTTAGAATATTATATTCATTTTTGATATCTGAAATAGTAATTTTGACTAGCAGTAAATCTATTATTGAGATCAGATTCAGGTTTAGATAGGAAGAATGTTATTTTAGAGATCTAGAAATAAAAGGCCAATACACATGAATGGAAACTGTGACGTCATTTGTACTAGTAAGAATTACATATTAGATATCTGAAATGTTTATTTAGACTAGGAAGAAATACTTTTGAGACATCAGAAATATATATTCAGTCAAGCTAATGAATGTAAAAACGCATACTTTGTAAAGATTTCTAGGCATCTGAAAGTTTATTCTTACTAGCACAATTATATGTTTAGCATCCTGAAATTAAATTTTCGTAAGCTAATATGTAATTTAGGATATCGATATGTTAATTTCTGACTAGTGGGAATTTAGTTTTGACCAGGAAGAATCTTATTTTGAAGATCAACAAATGGAAAAGAAGAAAGGACAGCGCTTCTGATAAATGTCAAAACGGCCTGCCATACAGGACCAGACAAAGCTCTATCTTCATTGGTCAGAATCACCTGTGACGTTTTCTTCGTAGCCAATCAGAGAGGCGTCATCCCGGCGGTTAGCGACACTCAAAACAACATGAGCAGAGCGAGGAAGATGAAGGTGTTGGAGCTGTTCTGAGGAGCTGCCATTACAGACATAGATCTGAGTGAGTAGAACAGCCCAGCAGTGAGGCCGCCTCCCCACCGAGGAGCCTTTATTAAAGCAACAGACCCGCTGAAAGCGATGCTAACTTCTGTGGCTAAGCGATTAGCATCTGCTAGCTGCATGAAGTTTAATAAACACAGAGGGAAAAGCGGCTGTTGTCCGTTAAATGAATAAACACCTCACCCACTGATCTCTATCTGTTCACTGAATAACCCGAAAAAAGTGAAGCCACTGGCCGCCATCTTGGTACTCCCCACTCCCACTGAGACGTGCCATAAAAATGCCTCCCTGTGATGCAAAACATTCACACTGATGATTAGCCTGAGTTATCCACTGAGTCTGATGTTAGGAAATAGGAAGTAATTCACTGTTAAATGTTAATTTAGTCATTCTTTATTCAGTGGATGATGCTGGAGTTTTTGGTTTATTTCATATTTAAAAAAGTCATGAGCTGAAATATATAAATATACTAATATATTGCTGGTTATATTGATGAAAAAATGAGCAACATTTTGAAAGGCTAATGCACAGACAGCATGGCAGTATATGGCCTCATTAATGCATCATCTGCATAGAGGGAAATACTGCAGCATTAACAGGCATGAAGTGATCATTCAGTCTGGATGTGAAATCTGGAAATGAAATGTAAGATCAGCTGATTGTGGAAGCAGCATCTGTACCCTAAGCACTGAGACAGAGGTATACTTTAGCTCTAACTTGTGTTTAACATAAAAAAGGAAATAAATAAATCCCATTTAGGGTTGGGTGATTTTCTGGCTTCATTTTTAATGTCTTCAAACTGCAGGACCTATAATATGGAAGCCCATTTCCGCCACTCTGAAAAAAGAAGACAAAAAAATCATCTCATTATAATGAGACAGTATCTCATTATATTGAGATACTATCTCATTATAATAAGATAATTTTTTTTTTTACAGAGTGGCGGAAACGGGCTTCCATACTATAATCTGCTTTTTTTAACAGGCATTTTTACAGCTTGGATGTAGTTCCACTTCTAATGCAGGTCGGCTCTCAGAGGTGATTATTGTTTTATATTTGATTTTATGATACAAAATTGAAAAAAAAAACTATTAATCTTATGTGGAATCAAAAATCGTAGATTTTATTGAAGCCATATCACTCAGCTTTACTTCCTTATATAGGTCATTACCATGCAAGCGTTGAGTTGCATATTATGTGTAGTTTCATAATGACTATGCAATGTGATGGGCCTATTTAATTTTTTTATTCTAAGTTAAAGTTAATCTACTGATGCTGTCAAACAGCCAGTATGTGTCAAAGTGAATAATTAATCTATATTTAAAATTCTTAAGTCCCCCTGAAAATTAGAACATCATAATTTTTCGATGCTGTAGCGCACTGATTGTTTACATTGCAATCGGTCTAACTAGGGAGTACCAATATGGCGGCGGGTGGCTTCACCATAACCCTGTACTACCAATGAGCAATCCAGTGAATAAACAGAGATCACTGGAGGTTTAACAGATAATATCTGCTTTAATGTGAACGTTTTATTATATAATCTAAGGTTATTTGCTTCCTTTTCTCTTCCTGTTGAAAAACCGCTAATGATTCACTGCAACATTTAATTTCACTTTGGGATTAAAGTGTTTTTTTTTTTTTTATATAATTGACTTGAAATGAAAGCATCAGAGATTGGCTGCTGGTAACCACAGTGGGATGACTGGTTTATTAGCTAAACTTCTAAAATGATTCATTTGAGATGATTGGTGAACATTAACCAGCAAGTTCTGATCTATCTGTGGGTTTTTAGTGCCTGAACTAACAGGCTGGTACTGCATGGAGTTCGCATGTTCTCCCTGAGCATGCGTTGGTTCTCTCCAGGTACTCTGGCTTCCTCCCACAGTTCAAAAACATGACTGTTAGGTAAATTGGCTTCTCTAGATTCTCCTCAGGTGTGAATGGTTGTTTGTCCTGTTTGTCTCTGTGATGGACTGGCGACGTGTCCAGGATGGACCCCGCCTCTCACCATAGACAGCTGGAGATAGGAACCAGCACCCCTCACCACCCCGCTTGGGATAAAGCATGATGGAAAATGGTTGGATGGAAATGAATGAGTCTGTGTGAAATATTCCATTACCAGCGTTTAATAGTGCAGGAGGAATAGCAGCCTGGGGGTTAGGGCGTAGAGCCTGGAATCCTGAGGTTCAGAGTTCGAGCCCCGCTCTGTGCGAGACCCTAAACCCCCCCAGGGCGCCTCACGATGGATGCCCACTGCACCCTAAGGGGATGGTTTAAATGCAGAGGTACATTTCTCCAATGAAATATCCATAAAGTTCTATTATTATTATTAAAGTTCAATGTTATCTGCAGTGAAGAAGCCGGTTCTCCAGTTTAATCCTAATTCCTTCACCACCCATCGGCGGTGGTAATAACCCACAGATCATTAACGTTACGTTCTCTGTCCCGACAGCAGAGGACAAAGGGAATCCAACAGAAATGCTTAAAATTCATCATAATCATCTTTTTTTAAAGTGTAAAAATAAAGTTTTTTATTGGTACCAGGATACTGGAAATGTGTTTCTTTTTTTCTCCGACACCTTTGATCACTGCTGCACTAAACACCATGAAAGCTGTACAAGATGAGATTAACAATAAAAGTTTCCTAAGTCTGAGAAAGTCTAAGGTGAGATAACCTTTAATCCGACTGGATGATCTGGTTGAACTATCTCTATAAAGTGCCTTCAGGCGACAGGATGGTGCTATAGAGATGAACAGAATTGAATTTATAAAATGCTTTTTTATTTCTTTCTTTGCCACTGAGACACCTAAAGATGGTGAGAACTCTTTAAAACTATTTTAGACAGATCTAAGATTAACATTAAAAAGAGTAAAACTGGAGTATTTTGTACCGGAGACCAAAAAGTGATGTAGGATTTTCCAACTGGAAAGAAACATAAAAAAATAAATTATTTAATAATAATATAAATAATAAACAGTTTCATTGGGTTTATTTTCTCTCCCTGTTTCCAGGCTTTTTCTGCAGAAATAAACTTGTTGTGAAAATGATCCATACTGCAGATAGGATGTTCCAATAGAAATTAAATGAATTTAAATGTTTAGACTTACATGTTACATCCCCTGATATGATGTTGTTTTAGACTATATAAAAGTCGTTTTTATTTTTTCAGTTTTGGTCCAGAACGAGAGGTTCAGGAGGAGACTTACGATGTCTCACAGGAGGAGCGAGGAAGAGCTGGATGCTGATTTTGAGAAGTTCCTGAAAGAGGTAGTCGTCTAGAAAACCCAACAGGAAGCCGATAAAATTTTTGCCAGAAATCCACAGCCGACAGTCAGCGAGCTCCAAACAGTCCTTCATGATGTGATTTCTGACATGATGATGATGGCGATGATGGCGATGATGATGATGATGATGATGATGATGATGATGATGATGATGATGATGATGATGTTTCTGTGGTTGAGGCTGGACTGTCTATCAGTCTGTTTCAGACGATTCTGTGGATCTAAGCAGCCCTGATCGTCAGACCAAACCGAGCCGCCAGAAACCGCCCTGGTGGTCAGATGACGAGCACAGCGGTGGAGGTAAGGACGCCTCAATCAGAGTCACCACCGGAAAACTAACAACTTACAATGTGATGGTGAGATGAAGCCTCATTGAACCGTTTAGCCTAATTGATTCAACGATCCCCACAGTTCATGAAGCTTCATGTCACCACCTACTGGTGGAGTGTAGAACTACAGTTAGTAATAAAATCTATTTGTTTTCCAGTTGTTTTTCTTGTTTTTTTTCCATTTTGGAATTGTTAATGATTGGTGTGTACAATGAAACAATAATAAAATAAGTTTTTTTAAGTGTAAAATGTCTTAGAAGAGAAAAATCATTTAAGGTTCACAGTTTTTCTGCCATTTTAGTGAAATAAATTGAAGCAGACAGTGAAAGTGTTTGTGCAAATTGGGCAATGATGAGCAAAATGAAATGTGTCATTTTTTTTCAAAATGAAAAATGTATCACAGCTTTTCGTTTTAATCGAGTTGGAAGTTATGTGTTCAACCAATCTTATGGCTAAACCAGCCAATCTAATTTTGCAGTGTTTTTAACTAATCTCTATTTGAACTAGGGCAAATTAAAACAAATCAGTCACATTAGCCAAAATACTTGTTAAGTTTTATCACAACTTTGAAGTCTAAAGTGGGTTTTGAACCAACAGCCTGAGGAATGGAAGTCAGTCAATGTCTTACAGCTGACAACTCCAGTTATGTTAACTATGCTCATGAAAGCAATACTACTTAAAACTAATGTTACAGCTGTAAGCGCTGGTTTGCTCTTATTTTGATCTTTACATGTTTAAACAAACTAGTTCTAACCAACTAGATTGGTTGTTTTTCCAACCAATCTATTCTTAGAATCTCCTCCAAACTCCCACATCTTGACTGAATAGTTTAAATGCCTGCTGAAGTTCCTGGTGATCTGAACCACTTCCTAAAGCGGTCACATGCTGTGGCGGGGTTGCTAGGCTTCGGACGTCATCTGTTTTGGCTCCTCCCCCAAATGAATCCCGCCTCGATACGCACCTCACGGAAACGCCCCCCTCCACTAATTGAAACATGCCTCGCAGCCTCGGCTCATCTCATGACATCACTACTAACAAGTAATGAAAACATGAGAAAGAGTTGAAGCAGGGGAAGTTTGCAGTGGTAGAAGTTGGAAATGTAGAAAAACGATGCCATCAGTCGTTCATCAAAGACTTAAACCTTCAAATTTCCACTAATGTCTGTGAGATCTCTGCTTAGCAGCCAGAAGGACGCCATAGAAACAATATCTGTCTGTAGTTAAAGTTTTCTGTCATTGTTCTAAAACCTTAGAAGACTGAGAGCCGTTTCTTTTTTTATTGCGTCGTTTTGTGGTTTAAATTTAATCACGTTACGTCTCGATAAAAGAAAAAATAAAGAAAATCAGTGGATCAGCTAGACTCCTGCGATGGTCCAGACCGATCAGCCTCCCAAGGTTTGCTCCTTCAGTGCTCTGCCGCTGGTTTAAAGGTATTAGGAGGATTTTTTACCTCCACTTAAAAAAAAAAATGCGTGAGTGTGCACGGGCCCATTGCTCCTCGTGCACGCCCTGTTTAAAATGTGCGGTTCTCGTAGCTCATACAAGCTTAATGTGTCCACATACAGCGGGGACTGTATAGTGAACTTTATAGTGAACCCAGTTAACTGCCCGTTCAGACAGATGATCACTACTTTTTACTCTGTTAGTCACGTAACTCCTCCTCCACTGCACGGTAACTGCGCCATCTTTAATATTAGTCGCTGGTGTCGGGTAGCGGCAGCCTATGGTGACAGCTGTGACAGCAAATCCCAGAATGCTTTGCAAGGAGAGCTCTCCATGCAAAGCATTCTGGGATATATCTGCCTCTTCTGAGGCCTTTCTTTTCTTCTCATACACTTTGTAGACACTTTTTCTCTTCCGACCCTCGGCCATTTTCAAAGAACCACGGTGAGAAAGGTGAGCTTCAATGACTGTCTGAAACCGTAGCTCAGCACAGATAACATGGCGAGCATGAAGGACAGCCTTACATGAACATATCACCAGAATGATTGACAGTTAGGAGGACCACTGATTGACATGATGCACACGGACATAAAAGATCCTCTATACCTTTAACACAGCCGTCAGTGACAATCAAAGCTTCTCCATCAATGCAGAACAATCATGATCTGAAGCACCTGCTGTTACCATTTTAATGTCAGAGTTTAACAGGACACTAAATCTAGTGTGTGACCTTAAATAAGCAGAAATTATTTGTTTTGGAGAATGACAATTGTCCACATATAAAAGGAAAAATCCGCTCATATTCAGAATCCAAACTTCTGAAATTACTTTAAATCTGAAATGATTCCATCCTGTTCAATAAATGATCAGTGTTTTTAATTCAGAGTCATTTTCATGTGAATGTGCTTTACTGGAGGCATCCATGTTTGTCAAAGAACACTAGAACACTACAGCGGTATCGGCTGTTGATCAAGTCCCAGTGTTGTATCTGGTGTTTGTCACAACGCGCTAGGGGTGGAACGGTTCACAAAATCCACGGTTCGGTTTGGTTCACGGTTTCATGGTCACGGTTTTCGGTTTGGTTCAGTATATGTTGATTGTTAGCATGACATGTTGGTCATGTTGCTGTTAGCATAAACAAAACGTGTTGCACAATGCTTGCACACTGTTGCACTTTTATCCACGACTTTCTTTCCGCCGTCATCGTAGGTCATTCTAAATGCAAGTGGTCCCATACAGCAGACCTATAAAGTGCTTCTGGCGCGTCTTCCAACTCCTGTTCTTTCCCACTCGCCATACCCACACAATTCTCCACAACAACTGATTTTTTTCTGCTACACCCGGCTACGCTGCTTCGCTTCTTCTTCTTCTTGTTTACTACTGGTGGTTGGCTTTGGTCGCAGTACCGCCACCTTCTGCTCTGGAGTGTTAACGCTTCGCCTATGAGAAAAAGGAGCAGCGCATGAACCCAACGCAACACACACGAACCGAGACAGTCGAACCGAACGGTTCGGACGGTTTTCATAAACCGTTCCATCCCTACAACGCGCTATTATCCAAGTCATCTTGAAAACATTCTTCTTCCAAATGTTGGCTACATATTACGGGTTTTTTCTCTGGCCAGAAGTTCGATGGCAAATCCTCCCTCTTCAAGTTGGCGATCCAACGACCAACCCGTCCGTGGAGGATCAGGAATCAGAAAGGTGGAATAAATAGTGTTGCGCCGATACCAGTATCGGGCGGGGCCCCAATCCAGCACTAAAAGGGCGGTATCGGTATCGGCGAGCATAGGGATGGAATGATTTATGAAAACCATCCGAACCGTTCGGTTCGACTGTCTCGGTTCGGTTCGCGTGTGTTTCGTTCGGTTCATGCGCTGCTCCTTTTTCTCATAGGCGAAGCGTTTACACTCCAGAGCAGAAGGTGGCGGTACTGCGACCAAAGCCAACCACCAGTAGTAAACAAGAAGAAGAAGAAGCGAAGCAGCGTAGCCGGGTGTAGCAGAAAAAAATCAGTTGTGGAGAATTGTGTGGGTATGGCGAGTGGGAAAGAACAGGAGTTGGAAGACGCGCCAGAAGCACTTTATAGGTCTGCTGTATGGGACCACTTGCATTTAGAGTGACCTACGATGACGGCGGGAAGAAAGCTGGGGATAAAAGCGCAACAGTGTGCAAGCATTGTGAAACACGTTTTGTTTATGCTAACAGCAACATGACCAACATGTCAGGCTAACAATCAACATGTACCGAACCGAACCGTGGATTTAGTGAACCGTTCCACCCCTAGGCGAGTTCCAACAAATAGGGCACTGATACCATTTTTAGAGTCAAAACTGTATTCCAGCATCCAGCTGCCATGCACGTGGGCATTGTCAGTTTCACTATAGCTCTGGTGAATTTCAATGGTGAAGTCCTCTGGAAATCTTCAATAATTGTTGTTGATTGCAGATGTGTCTAGTAGTTCCCATTGATTTAGCTTGGAAAGCGGGGAGAATGGCGCTAGGCTTACCGCACCGTGACGTCACTGCTGGAAGATGGCAGGAGGGAGGGGCTACTATATTTGGGCAAAGATGGCCGCTCCAAGACACCTTGATTGCGACAAAAATGATTGTTTTTATTTTTTCACTGATTAACGCTACATTCCTTAAATCACCATGAACGCATTAGTTTAAGGTATAAATGATGATTCTTTGATGAGCGGACTTTTCCTTTAACTGATTAGAACTGATCTGTTTATAGGTGAGTGTTTCCTTTGGACGTGGCTCTGGTTCACGTTCAGCCTTTCCTCTTTGATTCCTTTTCTCTTCTTCTCCTCCATTTTCCACAGCAGCAGAGTCATCCCAACGGCGGTTTATCAAAGACCCAAAGCCCCCGACTGACAACAACCAGGGTGAGCTCACATTGACCAACAGCTGTCCCTCCATCCACATGACTTTGGCTCCACTTCAGTCCAACTCTTAGTTAAAACCAGACTGTTGATGCAAAGCTGGGTGGTTTCCTGGGAGCTTTTATTGTCCAGCGCTGACCTCTGACAGCCTGTCATCATTAGATCTGCTGCTGTCTGAGGTCAGAGCTGCAGGATGTTCATTCGTTTAACTGACCTGTTCTAGATGCAGCTGTAAGTTAATGATCCTTTTTTCAAAGCAACATTCAGCTGGTAGGAGGCTGTTTTTAGGGGCTTGTAGTCGTTCTCTCTCCCACTGAACCTTTCCATCTTTAAGACGTCAGCCTCTAGGTCTTCTGTAGCTTTAGACGAACATGTTTGGTAGTGTAGTTGACCGTTTTGCTGTAAAACTTCTGAAGACACACAGATTAACATAATTAGATGTTCTAACAAATAAACTTCCTATTTTCTGTCTTTTAAAAAGTAAAAACCTTTAATTTTTACCTGCCAGTCATAAAACCCAGAGGTTTGTCCAAACATGTGAGAAGAGGCGGATAATTCAGGTCCAGAAAGTAATCACGAGGCTACGGAAGCCGGCAGACCAAACCGGAAGAACGTGCGCATTCAGCGTCTGCTCTTCCGATAATGCAAGCGTAGAAGAAGAAATGTGCCGTTTACCTGTGCAAAGAAAGAAACAACGAAAGAAAAATGTCTGAGGACTTCAGTGTTGAGGAAGAGCATGAGTTCTTTGCCGAGCTGAATGCGCACTTTCATCTGGTTTGGTCTGCCGGCTTCCGTAGCGTCGTGATCGCGCATGTGCGCGCTTTCAGGAAATCCTATACACTACTGTTTATGCTCTAAAAACATTCTAAATGACTTCGTTTCGAGTAAATTCTGGACGCTACCCACTCAGGACGCTTGGAATACATTGGACGAGCAGTATGGAGGAATATTGACACGTTTTTTGTGGACTTTTATGGACCTTTCTGCCTCGGGCGCCATAGACCTCCATTATTTGAATGTCAGCAGACAGCAAGAAGCCTCCCAGATCTCCAGATGCATTTGAGATATCAAAAAAGTACTCCAGAGTGTTGTTCAGCATGGGGGTGAGTAGAAAATGAAGGCTAATCATGTTTTGGGTGTACTATTCCTTTAACTCTGATACTGCGTTTCAAGCTTCAAAGACGCTTAAACACAGAAACAGTTGCTTTGCCGCTCTGGTTGTTTATCTGCTCTGTTCTGTAGCTTCAAGCTAGAGAGCAGCTCGGCTTTATTTACTGCATGAGTTGGAAAATAGTTTTAAGTCGTGCATACACAGTACGATTTTTTTGCTGCACGCAGCTACAGCTAACACTCTACGACGAAACCGCAGGTATAAAGGTTCACAGCTCACCATGTTTGTTTTGACCCGACGCTCTGATGCGATCTACCTGCTCACACTGTACGTCTAAAAACCAGGTGGGACTCAGCTCCGCAGTGAGATGGCGCTACTCGGACTAGACAGATTTATTTAGTCATTTTGTATACACGAGTGTAAACAAAATGAATACATCAAGACCGTTCCCTGCTAGGTTAATATATCTTTCACTAGCCAGAAACCTCAAACCAGCAGTCCCCCCCTTCATGCCATGAGGGAGGCTGTGTGACTCGTTCTTATCTCTCATGACCTTCCTTGGCAGCGTGTGATGCTAAGAACAGACATACCTCAACATTTTTTACTTCACACAGGATAATTTGGCGTCTGCGTCCATGTTGAGAATGTGACACTAGAGGGCAGTGTAGGTTTTTGGCTCCGAGTCCAATCAGCCCTCAGAGCATCTGAAGCCGCCGTAGGTCATAGCGGTTGATCTAAAGAGGTGTTGTGGAGTCTGAGTCGTAGAGCAGACGTATAGACATGGCAGCCAGAGGCTAATGAACGTTTGTACTGATGTCTTCTCTCATGTTTCTTAATGTCCAGGTCTCACAGGATCTGGAAAGGTTTTCAGGAAGTCTCTGAGAGGCTCTCAGCCTACTGAGGAAGAGGGGGACGTTACCGGCGGCTCAGAGAGAGAGCGTGAGTTCATGCTAACCAGGAGACGCGCTGGTGACCATCTTCATTCTGCTCCATTGTCCTCATCTATGGGGCCAAAATGGTAGCTTTAATATTTGCAAATGTGTGTGGAGAGTTGTGTGTCTGTATCTCGATTTGTGTGTGTGCAGTGGGATTTGAAAATGTGTAAATAAATCTGTGAATGTGTGAGGAGATTTGTGTGTCTGTACAACAATCTGCAAATGTGTAAAACTACTTGTGTGAAATCCGTTTTGCAAATGTATAAAAAATCCACAAATCTGTATTCAGATCTGCAAATGTGTACTGAGATTTGCAAATGTGTAAAAAATCCACAAATCTGTATTCAGATCTGCAAATGTGTACTGAGACTTGCAAATGTGTAGATCAATCTGTAAGCACACACAGAGACACTTGTGTCTGAAGTATTTTCGCTTCAAGACCCAGAAATACAGACAAATCATTGGTTACAAGTCAAACGGTTTTTCGGTTGGCTCTCTTTACACACGTGATTTTTGCTACTCTTCTGCTGCGTGAGATGCACAAATGCGTAGAAGGATATGTATGTGTATTTTCGCGATTTGTAACCCCTTGCGCAGGCTCGCAGGCTCACAGACAGCCTCTCTCTGCTGCGACAGTTCAGCACAACTTGCTTCACATACAGCCACATACATTACCGCCATCTACTTCAGTGGAGTGTGGATCGGGATGCTATGTATTTTCCCACTAAAAAATAAAAATAAATATTAACAATATTTACATAAATAAACTTATATCCTTTCTATCAATTTCGTTTTTTTTTCAAGATTGTTTATCAAATTACAAAAATAATCATAAGTAGATTTTTTTTCCAAAATATCTTGTATGTTTAACTGTAATTTATTTTCTTGCAACCAACTTAATAATTCCCTTCTCTCCATAAAATATTTATAACAAAACATGCTCCACCGTCTCCCCTTGATAACAAAAACCACAACCTCCTGTTCCCATTCTAAATAAGTTTCCATTTAACCCCGTGTTTCCGAAACTTAATCTAGATATAACCTCTTTTTTATTCCTTTCCGTTCTCCTCATTTCACCAATTTTCCTTTGAATACTATAAAGCCAACTTCCAGTTCTATGCTCTTCCCACAGCTTCTGCCATCTTTCCGTAACCTTTTGTTTAATAATAGATTAAATTTTTTCCTTACTGAATGGTATCAATATATCATCCTTGTCACGTCAACTCCCGCAGCGGAGGGAAAAAAAAGGTAGAGGCTGTCTGTGAGCCTGCGAGCCTGCGGTCAGGGCAGCATGTGAGCCTGCGAGCCTGCGCAAGGGGTTACAAATTGCAAAAATACTCATACAAATCCTTCTATGCATTTGTGCATCTCACGCAGCAGAAGAGTAGCAAAAATCACGTGTGTAAAGAGAGCCAACCGAAAAACCGCTTGACTTGTAACCAATGATTTGTCTGTATTTCTGGGTCTTGAAGCGAAAATACTTCAGACACAAGTGTCTCTGTGTGTGCTTACAGATTGATCTACACATTTGCAAATCTCAGTACATATTTGCAGATCTGAATACAGATTTGTGGATTTTTTACACATTTGCAAATCTCAGTACACATTTGCAGATCTGAATACAGATTTGTGGATTTTTTACACATTTGCAAAACGGATTTCACACAAGTAGTTTTACACATTTGCAGATTGTTGTACAGACACACAAATCTCCTCACACATTTACAGATTTATTTACACATTTTCAAATCCCACTGCACACACACAAATCGAGATACAGACACACAACTCTCCACACACATTTGCAAATATTAACGCTACCATTTCGGCCCCATACTCATCACCCTGATCCTTATTTCACATGGCGCTGCCTTCAGGGACCGTCAGTCAGGATGGGAAAGCCCAGAATCTCTGGTCAAAAGCAGAAGGGACCCGTTAGAGCGCCAGAATTACCCATAATGCAACAGACGGCAGCAACTGAGGCTGTTTCTCAATTCTAAGAACGCGAGTATGGACTGGTGTTCTCACTAAGTACGTTCTTGACAAGAACAGAGAAAGTATGGACCCAGCAGCGCGCTCGTGACGTCACCACATTCAAAGATAGTCCGGAGCTGCATTTTACCTCATGTTATTAATAGTCTCTGGATAATAATAAATTATTGCTTTTTTAATCTAGTGTGGTAATAATAATGAACACAGTCAGATAAACACAAATCAAATGAACATTTTTCCAAATAAAACAATCAAACTCGCCATCAGAGCCAACGGTCCTTCACACACGGCTATGCTGAGAGAGGACTGCAGCAGCCAGAGCTAACGTTAGCCCTGGCTGCTGCAGGCGGGCTAACGTTAGCCCTGGCTGCTGCGGACGGACTAACGTTAGCCCTTGCTGCTGCGGACCGACTAACATTAGCCCTGGCTGCTGCAGACGGACTAACGTTAGCCCTGGCTGCTGCGGATGGACTAACGTCAGCCCTGGCTGCTGCGGACGGACTAACGTTAGCCCTGGCTGCTGCGGACGGACTAACGTTAGCCCTGGCTGCTGCGGATGGACTAACGTCAGCCCTGGCTGCCGAAGACGGACTAACGTTAGCCCTGGCTGCTGCGGACGGACTAACGTTAGCCCTGGCTGCTGCGGACGGACTAACGTCAGCCCTGGCTGCTGCGGACGGACTAACGTTAGCCCTGGCTGCTGCGGACGGGCTAACGTTAGCCCTGGCTGCTACAGGCGGGCTAACGTTAGCCCTGGCTGCTACAGGCGGGCTAATGTTAGCCCTGGCTGCTGCAGACGGACTAACGTCAGCCCTGGCTGCTGCGGACGGGCTAGCGTTAGCCCTGGCTGCTACAGGCGGGCTAACGTTAGCCCTGGCTGCTACAGGCGGGCTAATGTTAGCCCTGGCTGCTGCAGACGGACTAACGTTAGCCCTGGCTGCTGCGGACGGACTAACGTTAGCCCTGGCTGCTGCGGACGGACTAACGTTAGCCCTGGCTGCTGCGGACGGACTAACGTTAGCCCTGGCTGCTGCGGACGGGCTAACGTCAGCCCTGGCTGCTGCGGACGGACTAACATTAGCCCTCGCTGCTGCGGACGGGCTAACGTTAGCCCTGGCTGCTGCAGACCGGCTAACGTCAGCCCTGGCTGCTGCGGACGGGCTTACGTTAGCCATCGCTGCTGCAGTCGGACTAACGTTAGCCCTGGCTGCTGCGGACGGGCTAACGTTAGCCCTGGCTGCTGCGGATGGACTAACGTTAGCCCTGGCTGCTGCGGATGGACTAACGTTAGCCCTGGCTGCTGCAGACGGGCTAACTTTAGCCCTTAGTTAGACGCGGAGCTCCGCTGGTTGCCACGGTCCTCTCAACACCTGAACTTTTTTTTTTTTTAATCAGTAAATGGTCCATATAGTGACGCTTAAAGTATAATTTTCTCGCCTCAAATGATCTATAAACGTACTTTTATTGAACAACAGCAACAGAAAAGAAAACTTTTAACTTAATCCTCTGAGCTCTGTGAGCGCTAACCTGGAAGCTGCTGCTGCCGCAGTGCATGCTGGGACAGCTGTCAGTCTGGAGAACGGACAAGTCTGCTCTGATGCATGCTGGGTAAAGAGGGAGGGGCCAGAACAACAGCTGGCGATTTTCTCTGTTCTTAGTCTTCTCAATCATGTGAATTGGAACCGTACTCGGGCTGAGTCTGATGACGTTTCACGAGAAGGCACAGGTACACAGATTGAGAAACTGACAGGGTGTCTCTGTCTCTGTCCCTTTGTTCCCTCCTTCGTCCCTCCCCCTGTGGTCCAGGCACCATGGAGCTTCCCTCAGGCAGGCAGAACCTTCCTCTGAGGATCCTCCCTCCATCATCTCCACTCTGCATTTCCTCAGAGACTGAACAGTTGTTGTTTGTGTGCAGAATCCGTGCTGGCAGCAGCTGGGAGGGTGAGCAGGATGGGTCTGGACACCCTGGAGGAGGAGGAGGAGAAGGCCCGGTTCTTCGCCCAGATCGAGGCAGGAGCTTCATCAGCTGTATATTACTCTCAGCTGAACAGAGAGATGGACTCCAGCCTTTCTACCTTCACCATGGACCTCAGGTTTGTAAACAGCTGGAGTCTGATGGAAGCCAGTCAATGGATGCTACCTGGACTGGTGTCATAAACTAGAGAACCATCTGTTGGTGTGAAGTTCCAGCTCCGCTTTGAGACTTTATGGACTGAAGAAGATTATTTCCTTCTAGAAAAGTGGAGAAAGAAGAAATGGAGCAGAGGGAAGCAGGAGCAGCAGGTAGGAGGAGCCTCCAGAGGAGCATCCTGGTCCTGGTTGAGCTTCTCTCTCCGTCTCTTCATCAGATCTCTGTTCTTGCAGCCCCTGCCATCTCCCCACACTACAGTGAGGATTTTGAAGATGAGGAGCGTCTAAAGGAGCCACTGGGGCAGGTTGGGAGATCCACTCTCTGTTCAGCCTCAGAAATGTCTGAGAAGCAGCTTCTCTCCAACATCAGTTTCTAACAGAAGGATCTGAACTCAGGCTGATGGGGATTCATCCAGTGTCATCCAGGAAAATAATCCCACAGATTGAAGCTTTCTCTGACAGTGACATATTTCTGTCCACCAGGTGGAGACACGTCCTTATGTGACATAATCTCAGCATCTTTAGCAGAATAGCGTCAATATTTCAGCACAAACAGAATCAAAAAGCTCATCAGATAAACCAAACACAGCCAACATGATAGATTAGAAGAATTCCCATCCGGCTGGATCCCAGCGATGTTCAGCATATTTTACTGGGCAGGTTGGGAGCGCTGACTCTTCACCATTAGACGTTTCTGCTCTTCATCTGCTGGAAACGCTTTCTGGTCCCTCATACCTGCTGCTCTCCATATCTGGAAGTTAATTAATAAACCCGATCCGGGAAATGGACCCGAGGAAGCGTAGAGTAGTGAGGAATCAAATGCTGCACTGGAAAACATCCAGTTCTATCCAGGTCTTTTTTTCTTTAAAAAACTGCATTTGTTCTTGAATTGAGGAGGTAAAACAGACATTTTGCCAACAGAACAAGACAATCCACATTTAAAATAACAAAATAATAAATATACTGATATTAAGAAATTGTTACTTATTTTTAGATTATTTTTCCAGTGTGATTGTCTGCGGCGTTAAAACAATGTTAAATTTAGTAGGTAAATAAGATGATTTATATTTTTACTCTTACAATAGATAATATTTAGATAATATGCACTTGAAATATACATATCAGCTGTGCTGCTGCCATCAACACCTTTGTTTCTAGATGTTGGAGATCGGCCTGTTTTCCAGTGTAGTCCTGTTTCTCTGACTGTGACTAACTGGATGTGCTCTCTTCATCCTCTGACATGGGAGCTGGCTCGGAGCTCGTCTGCCTGGCTGTGTGTTTCCTGGACGGGGCCGCCTGTGGAGCTGGTTGCCTTTTGTATCTATGCTTCTTTTTCTATGTCTGCTTCTGTCTCCTTGAACCCCAGTGGGCCTCAGCAGATGGCCGCTCACACTGAGCCTGGTTCTGCTGGAGGTTTCTTCCTGTTAAAGGGGAGTTTTTCCTCTCCACTGTCGCTACAAGCATGCTTAGTGTGAGGGATTGCTGAAGAGTCAATGAGTCGATGCAATCAGCTGGTTTTCCTTAGATAGAAAATTTTGAATCAATCTGACTGGATGATCTGGTGAACTGGAAAGTGACCTGAGATGACATGATGTGAATTGGAGCTATAGAAATAAACTGAATAGAAATTAGACGATGCAATTGTTTTTATTTTTTTTTTTTTAACTATAAATTGGCTTGTTGCATTGGCAGTGTCTTACTTACCTCCTCAATGAAGAAAAAAAGATCTTAATTAGGAAAAACGGACTCATCCAGACTTGTGTTCTTTGCAGTGTGATTTTCTGATCTTCACTAATCCGCCATTTTTTCTCCGTTACAGAAAGCGTCTCAGATTCTGGCCAGAGGTGAGAGCTTTAATATTCACTGCTGATGACAGGTGGCCCGGTTTGAGAGCAGACAGAGTGGGTTCTGACCCGGTTCTCTCCTCCTTTGAGCTCTACACACTGGGTCCACTGCCCCTCATTAAAGGAGTTTCTAGGAACATCGGTTCTGATTGCTTCACCATGAAGGAAACAAAACTCAATGAAATGTGAGATTTTCTTTCATCAGTTTGAACAATAACACCAGATAACAGATGGATGCTTATTTCTCAGTTTCTCTCTACGACTCTTTGGACGACACCTGTGGAGAAGACAGAGGGACGGACGGAGGGAAGGACGGAGGGAAGGATGGAGGTACGGACGGAGGGAAGGATGGAGGTACGGTCATCTACCTGAAAAACCGCTTTAACAGAAAAACCTGACCAGAACCATCAGAGGGGCTGGAAGTCTGCTTCTGTTTATGGTTTGACTCCACTGGTTTGGTTCCCTAGCAGCCGAGGTCCGACCCGCTTCAGCCACTAGGGGTGCCAGACCTGTCGCTCCAGGTTTAGCTCCTTCTCTCACATGTTGATTTTAAAACATGAGGCTCTGAGAAAGAAAACCAGGTTTTCTGAGGAGCTTTAAGGATGCAGGTTCTGGATTTCAACGTCGGCTTATCAATAAGAACAGAGGATTTATATTCCATTAGGTTTTAATGGTTTTGATCCATTAATATGTTATATGCATTTGGACTGAACAAAAACATGATTTTGCATGTTTAACATGTTTACATTTACAAAGTTTCACTATCAGATTGAAACATTTTCAGCTTCAAAATCTGCTGATCACTTTAGCTGAGCTGAGTCCCACCTGGTTTTTAGACGTACAGTGAGCAGGTAGATCGCATCAGAGCGTCGGGTCACAGCGTGAGAACAAACATGGTGAGCTGTGAACTTTTAAACCCTGCGGTTTCACCGTACAGTGTGAGCTGTAGCTGCGTGTAACGATTGAAAAAAAACAGGTGAACACATCAATCAGAACCTTTCGAAAAAAGTTAAAAACAATCCACTGGACTTTGTTTCCAAGTTTGAAGACGTTTCTCTTCCATCCAGGAAGATTTTTTAATCCAAAATGTCAGAAATAGCGTTTAGTTCCAGGTTTTATCCAGCAGCCCAACAAAGCCTGGTTTTAGTTTAGAAAACATGCAAATAGAAACGGATGAACGGGTCCCCCCCTTTGGAATGGGGGTCGTTTGGCTCCTTTGTTAGCCTGCAATGCCCGATGTTGCTCTATGGCTACATTCACACTGCAGGCCTTGATGCGCAATTCCAATTTTTTTGTGAAATCCAATTTTTTTGCAGTTCACATTTCCAAATATATGCGACTTGTACATGATCTCCGGTGTAAACTACATTCACACAGCTTGTGTCCCGCATTCGCAGTAGAGGACGCAATGACGTCACAAGCCAGCGTGCTCTGTGTTTACGGAAGTAAACATGGATGGTAAAGCTGGAGCGCATCTAGGGATCCTTCCAAACCTTAAAACCTACATTTTTTCTAGATGGTTAAAAAGAATACTGCTCTCCTCATCATCGTCCGCCATGGTTGTTGTTTTTGTTGCCGCTTCTTCACAGCAAGTCCCAGGATAGTGACCCTTGTTGGGTTGCATTCATCCGACCTGGCCATTCAGAAGCAGGTCGCATTTGAAAAGATCAGATTCGTATCGGATTCAGGACCACAGAGCCAAGCGGCCTGGGTCGGTTTGAAAAAAATGGGATCTGTGTTGTTCAGTCATGAAATGATCAGATCCAGGTCGCATATGGGCAAAAAAAATCAGATTTGGGTCACTTCAGGCTGCAGTGTGAACGTAGCCTTAGTCTCTAAAATGGGGGCCTTTGGGCGTCATTGTTGGCCTGGCTGAACCAGCGAGATATTCTGGTCCCCTGTACGGGGGTGGGGGGTTGCGATGATATTGGGAAGGAATCAACTCGCAACAACGCTGCATCAGTCAGAACATTTTTAGTTTCAAATAGAGGGGCACAAATTGGTCCGGGAAAGTTCCTAAATGGGATGTTAACCACGGTGGGAAGCCTGTCAGGGTTAACAGTTATGCTACGTTCAGGCCGCAAGCAGCAGAAGCAGCAAGCTAACATGCTAAGTCAATGGTTGATTGATCAAGGCCCAGCAAAAGGTCCTGCAGCGCATTTTGAGCTTCAGAGCATCTGACGCGCTTCAGAAGCAGCAGCTGCTGGAGTGGAAAAATGCAACTTTAGCTGCTGGACGCCTCATCAACCAATGAGAGAAGCTGATCTGGGAGCTGGCAGGGAGTCAGACACAGCACTGCTGATGCAGAGCGCTATGATCACTCCTCTGAAACAGTTTATTAACGCCTAAATTAACTTCAAATGTAGAAACCTGCCGGCAGAATTTGTTGGCTTTTATTATCCTGCTGCCTGCAGTTTGTAGCACAGACCTGAAAAACGCTAACATCTACTTCCAGCCGCCACCAACAGGAGGGGAAAACCCCCAAGAGGCGAGCGGGCCTGAGGCAGCTGCTGCTGGGGATTCCCAGTGACAGCGCAGCGCCGGTATGTGGGGGTCTGAGCGGCTCCCACAGAGAAATAATCTTTGAAGGCAGGATGGTAATCTGGATGAACTGATGCACAGACCATGTTTTCAGGAGGACTTTCTCACTTCAACATAGATTCTAACTACTTTCTACCCGCTGATCACAGCTAATATAGCTGCCATTGTTCCAGGCAGAGAAAGGATAGAGTAGCTCCGCCCAACATGCATCAGACCCACTTTATCACCGCGCAGCTAGAGCAGCAGAGATGCTTCAGCCGCGCGTCAGAACTAAACTGGTTCAAGCATCAAAAATGAAGCAGCGCACGTGTTTTAGCTGCTCCTGCTGCGCACGCTCTCAACGTAGCATTAGAGTCAAGTTAAAGCAGTGAAGCTTTGTCCTAATTTGTAAAAGTACATAAAATACAGTAAAATTCCTCATTAAGCTACACTTGTTCCAAAAGTTAGTGAAGTATTTGATGAAAAGGCTTCTGAAGTCCAGAGTTTGGCTGAGAGGCTTTTTAATGAAACACGAGGATGAGTGGATTGAAAAGCAGACATGAAGCTTTTCTGGCTGTTTGTTAGTTTAACCGTCTGCTTGTTGTGTCTTCAGGGCAGCTGTACACACAGAGTGGAGGCTCAGAGGTGGAGGCTCTTCAGGAGGCATACAGGCAGATCCACTCTGTGGACGACTCAGACCATCACCTGGGGGATAGAGGGGGGGCTGAGGGGGCGGCGCCTCCCCCCTCTCCCCCTCAGCAGTCTCTGCAGCCGGCTTCCACCAAGGACTCAGGTCAGACTCCGCTTAGACTGGAGCAGGGCTTCAGCCTGGCGTCCCAGCTCTGATCCCTTCTGCTTGAATCGCATTAAAATGTTCCAGCCAGGTTCTCTAGGAAGGCAAACGTCAACGACTGATCATCACCAACTAAACTTCATCAGTTCAGATAAATCCTGAAATAACTGAAAAACATCAGACCATCAGGACAGTAACGGACCTCTCTCTCAGTCTGCTGTGCTGTGATGTCAGAGGACGGCAGGTCGCTGCTCTCCATCAGATATAGACTCTGGGCTGAAAGCATTATTAATAAAATAGATTTGATCTAAATCCAGGCTAAGATCTAGATCTCAAAGTTCTATAGTCAACAAAACAGAATAAAATAAGAAGAAATTCTAAACTAATTTAAAATTCACAAAACTGATCATTTAAAGCAGGGGTCTTCAACGTGTTCCAGGCTAAGGACCCAAACTGATGGCGAGATGGAGCGGGACCTCCTAATAATATTGTATGAAATAGTGTTATATCAAACTGGTCCTACAGGTGCTGGTCATAAAATTAGAATATCATGAAAAAGTAGATTGATTTCAGTAATTCCATTTAAAAAGTGAAACTTGTATATTATATTCATACATTACATACAAACTCATATATTTCAGATGTTTATTTTGTTTAATTTTGATGATTACAAATGACAACAAATGAAAATCTCAAATTCATCATATCAGAAAATTAGAATATTGTGAAAAGGTTCAAAATTGATGGCCCCTGGTGCCACACTCTAATCAGCTATTTAACTCAAACCACCTGCAAAAGCCTTTAAATGGTCTTTCAGTCTAGTTCTATAGGCTACACAATCATGGGGAAGACTGCTGACTTGACAGTTGTCCAAAAGACGACCATCGACACCTTGCACAAGGAGGGCAAGACACAAAAGGTCATCGCTAAAGAGGCTGGCTGTTCACAGAGCTCAGTGTCCAAGCACATTAATAGAGAGGCGAAGGGAAGGAAAAGATGTGGTCGAAAAAAGTGTACAAGCAAGAGAGATAACCGCACCCTGGAGAGGATTGTGAAACAAAACCCATTCAAAAATGTGGGGGAGATTCACAAAGAGTGGACTGCAGCTGGAGTGAGTGCTTCAAGAACCACCACACACAGACGTATGAAAGACATGGGTTTCTGCTGTCGCATTCCTTGTGTCAAGCCACTCTTGAACCACAGACAGCGTCAGAAGCGTCTTGCCTGGGCTAAAGAGAAACAGGACTGGACTGCTGGTGAGTGGTCCAAAGTCATGTTCTCTGATGAAAGTAAATTTTGCATTTCCTTTGGAAATCAAGGTCCCAGAGTCTGGAGGAAAAGAAGAGAGGCACTTCATCCACGTTGCTTGAAGTCCAGTGTAAAGTTTCCACAGTCAGTGATGGTTTGGGGTGCCATGTCATCTGCTGGTGTTGGTCCATTGTGTTTTCTGAGGTCCAGGGTCAACGCAGCCACATACCAGGAAGTTTTAGAGCACTTCATGCTTCCTGCAGCTGACCAACTTTTTGGAGATGCAGATTTCATTTTCCAACAGGACTTGGCACCTGCACACAGTGCCAAAGCTACCAGTACCTGGTTGAAGGACCATGGTATCCCTGTTCTTAATTGGCCAGCAAACTCTCCTGACCTTAACCCCATAGAAAATCTATGGGGTATTGTGAAGAAGAAGATGCAATACACCAGACCCAACAATTCAGAAGAGCTAAAAGCCACTATTAGAGCAACCTGGGCTATCATAACACCTGAGCAGTGCCACAGACTGATCGACTCCATGCCACGCCGCATTGCTGCAGTAATACAGGCCAAAGGAGGCCCAACTAAATACTGAGTGCTGTACATGCTCATACTTTTCATGTTCATACTTTTCAGTTGGCCAACATTTCTATAAATCCTTTGTTTTTATTGGTCTTCAGTAATATTCTAATTTTCTGATATGATGAATTTGAGATTTTCATTTGTTGTCATTTGTAATCATCAAAATTAAACAAAATAAACATCTGAAATATAAGAGTTTGTATGTAATGTATGAATATAATATACAAGTTTCACTTTTTAAATGGAATTACTGAAATCAATCTACTTTTTCATGATATTCTAATTTTATGACCAGCACCTGTATAGTCCCTCTATTACAGATGGAGTAATGTAACTAAAGTAATCCCTCCCTGGGATTATTAAAGTATTTCTGATTCCTGGTTGATGGGACAGGTGTTGTGAATGAAACGGTGGCCAGCTTGAAAGAGCTCCTGTGTGTCTCTGAATGTGAGCATTGATGACTGAAAGACATCTTCTGCCTCCATTTATCTGTTTACTACAGTCTGTTGGATTCATGTTAATGTGGATTTAAAGACATTTCAATTAGAGGAAAAAATTCCAGGGGGGAATATAAAAAAATAGTCTAATCAACCAAAAATTTTGCGACCCCCATGCAGTACCTCCGTGGACCCCCTAGGGTCCTGCCATCTTCCAGCAGTGACGTCACGGTGCGGTAAGCCTAGCGCCATTCTCCCCGCTTTCCAAGCTAAATCAATGGGAACTACTAGACCAGGGGCGTCTCTAGGTTTAAGAGACAAGGGTGGCTCAGCCCCTAGAAGATAAAGCGCGCGCCGAATTTTTTCAGTGCACCTGCTAAGGCGTTGTCTAAGACAAGGGTGTAACTTTGTGTTGAAAGTTGGTGGGGACGGCTCATAAGGAAAGGGAGCTACCTGCGCGACGCCTTTTTTTTGTTGTTGGAAAGGATAAAGCCAAAAAAATGCGAATAACATTTATCAATTTAATGCTTACAGTTGAAAACATAACTGTTACAATATTCACTTATATATTTTGTGCAAAAAATATCACATAAATCTAAACAGACAGTACAAATCAAAGAAATCAAATAAATATATCAATTTTGTAGAACATTTATTGACAGTCAATTTTAGGTCACTTTTTAAAATGTATTTACTTTTAAACCAGGACTCGGACGAGATCTTATGGGACCTTAAGCAGAATATGATTAAGCAACTCCGTCTTTCTGTCAAGAACATCCACCAGCAGGGTATCCAGGGGGGATTTACCATTAGGCAATACTAGGCAGTTGCCTAGGGCCCCAAGTTCTGGGGCCCCATAAAACTCTGTTTCCATGTATGGTTAATACAACTAATCCTTATTTGTGCACATTAATTATGTTTTTGATAAAAATCCTTTGACTAAAATGCCATCAGAACGCTGATAAATAGAGAGGAAAAAGGGACAAGAAGAGAGGGACAAAACCTAGAACAGATAATGGATGTCTATTCTATGAACATTTCTCTATCTGTACAATGGGTCTGTTTTATGGGTTTACTTCTCAGGGGGCCCCCTGCCTGTCTTTGCCTTGGGCCCCAAATTTCCTAAATCCGCCCCTGAGGGTATCAATACTGATGATAGAATCTGGGAGAGCGGACTATGTTCAACCATCCATTTTCTTTAACCTTATCCCTCAGTGGGATCAGGAGGTGCTGGTGCATATCTCCAGCCACGTTCTGGGTGAGAGGTGGGATCACCCTGGACAGGTCACCAGTCTGTCGCAGTATGTTCAACCAGCTTAAAAGTAATCGCTAATCAGATTTATTATTTGCACTTTTACTAAGTGAACTTTCTAACTCCCTTAAATCTGAAATTCCAATGCCAAAATTTTTTAAATATTTTATCTTTGGACCCCCTGCAGAGTGACGTCACACCTGTAAGATCCTATCCTTACCTCCCTGCTAGATTGCAAAAAGCAGCTTGCTCATGAGTTGTCAACATAACACGCTAAATCTTAAATGTACATATAAAAGAAAAAGGGGCGCAGTGCTTGCTACTGAATGGCAACACTATCAAAGTCAGGAAAAAGTTTTAAGTAAAGCCGGGATTAAAACAGTAGCTACAAGAAGCTTCAAATAAAAGGTGTTCTTTATGTTCAACCTAAACACCAACTCCGATAGACCATCAGTAGAGCAGGTGTTTAAATTAATCAATCACTGCTGCGAAAGCTTATAGCAGTGAAAGCTAATATACCACAGCCATCACTTAATAAACGCAACATAAACAACCCTCTAAAAACGGAAAACTGTAATGGACTGAAAGTCCTGTTTTTTATGTGGGAAATTATTTGCGTGTGTTTTAGTATAATTCTGATATATTGGCGCTGTTGTCTGTTTCTATGGCAACGATACTGAATGTAGTGTAGCTTAGAGACCTGCATGGGTCGAGTTTTACAAACCCGCACCCGCCCGAACCCGTTAGGATGACTACCGAACCCGACCCGTCACCCGCGGATATCTTCAATTCAAATGTTATGGGGAGAGGGCGGAGGGGGGTGATAGGGAGAAAGCGAGAGGCAACAGATTCTTTTTTCTGAGTTTTTTGTCGGGGTTTGTGGACGGTGAGCAGCGGGGAGAACTTTTTTATTTTCTTTCTGAGGAGCGGCATGAATGGGGTTTTAATCAGATATACACAGCACCGAAAGCAAAATACGTGGACAAAATATTGGTGGGGACATGTCCACACCAGTCCTTAAGGAAGTTACGCCTATGATTGTTTAGATCAACTTGTCTTCTTTATGGCTTTTATTCGGTGCTTTACTGCATTTGTTTTGGGAAAATATGAGGGAAAAATAAATACAGAAAAAAATATATTTTTTTTTAAATCGCAAAATAATTATAGGGTGGCTAATGCCAAAGAAAGGGTGACTGAAGCCACCCTTAAATAGGTCTAACGACGCTTATGTACTAGACACATCTAGCCTCGTGAGACCATCCTGATCTCACGAGCTTTCAAGGTTTCACTCGCAGATCAGTCTGGAGACTCTCCGTTAAAGAAAATTTGGAGCCGTTCACCAAACGAACGTCCAATCAGCGTTGGCTTTGAGGCGGGTTGAGGTGTGACGCAACGAGAAGCGCGACAGTTCAGTCTAAAGAACATGGCGGCTTCAGCCGATGAAACTAGCGTTAGCGTGGCTATCGAGCAAGTTTTATGGGAATTACAGAGTATTTCTTCACTGAAAGAAGAGCAAAACACTGCTCTGGAGGCTTTTCTCAGAGGAAAAGATGTTTTTGCTCTTCTCCCGACTGGTTTCAGCAAGAGTTTGATCTATCAATTGGCTCCTCTTCGTCGTCGCTCTGTTAGTACGTCATATGCTTCGTTGATCTGATTGGTTTATTTGGCCCGTCTATGACCAACATAGGCCAATCAGCTAACCAGTATTTTCGCCCCTTCCCAAAATTACTTCAACGGAAGGTTTCTAGATGGATATGCGGAGCAAATCCATCTGGCGGAGTCAGGTTAAGACACATCTGCAATCAACAACAATTATTGAAGATTTCTTGAGGACTTCACCATTGAAATTCACCAGAGCTATAGTGAAACTGTTTAACAGTTAAACAGTTATTCCACCTTTCTGATTCCTGATCCTCAACGGACGGGTTGGTCGTTGGATCGCCAACTTGAAGAGGGAGGATTTGCCATCGAACTTCTGGCCAGAGAAAAAACCCGTAATATGTAGCCAACATTTGGAAGAAGAATGTTTTCAAGATGACTTGGATAATAGCGCGTTGTGACAAACACCAGATACAGCACTGGGACTTGATCAACAGCCGATACCGCACCGGACCTTTCCTTTACAGGAGACCTTTAAAAATATGGTATAAAAAGGAAGGTTTTAAAGTTTTAAAATGAGACCCAGTCTGCAGACCCCCCAGATGTGGGAGGGGACCGGTCTCCCTTGGTCCTGGGAACGGGCAAAAGGTCCCAGCTAGAGGAACCAGAGTACAAGAGTGACCTTTAGATAATGTGGGGCGTTACCGTGGAAGGTAGGCAGAGAGATGATGTTAATCATCCAGATACAGATGGGAGGAGCATGTTCAAGTTTTCACCACCACCAGGATGCTGGCTGCACATTTCTTAGTGTGGAGGAAAAAAAACAAAGTCAGCCGTTCTGCATCAGAGAGGGAAAGTAAAGACAGCTTTGAATGTTTCAGGATTCAGTGAGCATTTCCACAGCAGTCATCTAAATTCTTCATGTCTTTCCTGATGAACGAGGCGTTCACTGATGTGGGTAAACGATGCTCTCATGTTTTTCAGATTTGCCAACTGCAGAGGAGCTGATGAAGCCCATCCGGCCAGAAAACCACCGAGCTCAGAGCTTCAACCTGCCGGCTGCCTGGTTAGGAGTTACACCTCAGATCAGCTCACAACTGCTGTTATGGATCATAACCTTCTGCCTCTTAGCTTGGAGGGAATTTATATGATATGAAAGTGAACGTATGAGGATGTTTGAGTTTGTGTGTTGGAGAAAATCTTTGCCTTAGTTGTGTTTTTCTGAAGGTGAAGGTACCAGACCTGCTCGGGGCCCCGCCCCTTCTTATGACGTCACCTTATGGCAACTCCACTCGGACAAACTCTATTGCGCCCGTTTCTTAAGGATCAAGTCTCTTTTGGAGTCTTAACATATTATTACCTATATTTGCTATTATTCTACACTTCATCTGCGATCTAAAGTTACTGAAAGTAGAAAACAATCATTGTCAGTCTGGAAGGAAAGTCCCGCGTTCTAAGACAGACTGAGCTCTGCCATTTAACAAGGTGACACAAAAAGTCTCAGATTATTTTTATTCTTTTTATTCAGATCTGAGGTCAGAGGAGAACAAATGGAACATAAAGAGCAGAGATTTTAGACAAAGAAAACAGTTATTCTACTGGTAGAAAACGAACTGTTGTTGTTGACACAAATTTAAAAGTCGTGTAGCTTAATGTGGCTAACTGAGCGAGCTAAAAGAGGCTAACCTGTTAGCTACTGAGCACAGCTAGCCACAGCGCTACCCAGCTCTTTATATCGTGGTCTAACAGTTACTTTGTTCACCAGAAACAGAGTTTTTTCAGTTTTGTTTTCAATCAGGTAAAACTTCGTCAGTCATTAGACGCGTGAACACTACAGATGCTCCTAACTAGGAACACTGATGCTGCGGGATGTTATCATCGTTGTCTGGGCAACCACAGCCAATCATGTAGCGTAAGGTCACTGACAGGAAGCAGGACCAGAGCAGATCTGGTTCCTGCAGCGGCAGCAATTAAATGAACGTAGAGCTATGATAATAGAATCCCGGATCAGGATGATGAGGTTTCTGGTTATCAGTGGGAAGAGGTGGAAGCAGCTCTTTAACCATCAGTGATAAAACATCGGATTCTGGTTCTGAAGATCCGCCACTATCTGACCGCCTGCTTTCAGGGCAGCAGAGCTCCATCCTGACCTCAAGAAGACTTTCCTGGTTCAAACTCCTTCAAAGGAGCCGAGAAAGAGCGGCCCCACCGCAGGACTTAAAGGAGCAGCGAGGTCCTCCATCCACACCAGGTCCAGGTCCCCAGAACCTCCCCACCCAAAGCTGGCCTTCAGGGAGGGAGAGCAAAGACAGAAAAAATCTTCTTCTCAATCTCTGCCTGAGGCTGGAAACGCCAGGAACCAACGGGTGAGGAACGGTGACTCCACCTCCCTCTGCATGCTCCCCCCCCTTCATACATCCTCTCCCCACAGACGTCCAGGAGCTCCTCCATGGTTCCGGAGAGGAAGACGGCCGCTGGAGTTAAGGCTGGGGGTGGGAGGGCAGCTGGAAGGAGCAGAGCCGCCCCCTCCAAGCCCCCGTCGGATGGTGGTGCTGCAGGTCTCTGTTGTTCCTGTCATGATCAGCTCCTCCAGCAGGAGGCTTCCGTTCCTTCCAGGCTGATTGTACTGTTTGGTCTGCAGAGGCGGGTCTGGAGGCGAGCGGCGAGCTGGTGGCGTCCGTTCAGTCCCTGTTGGCTGTCCTCCAGCAGCAGATCCACACCGGCAGCCATGAAGCTGCGCAGGAGGTCAGAGCCCCTCTTCAGGCCGCGGTAAGAAAACGACTAACAGTGGAACGGTCAGAGCTGGACGTGTTTGTTCAGTCAGTTTGGCTCTTACAGGCGGTTCAGGACAGTTCTGGCGCCGAGGCGCTAAGAGTCCAGCTGGCTCAGAAGGAGGAGGAGCTGCAGAGGATGAAGGATGAAGTACAGGAGATGAATCTGCTGAGACAGCAGAACTACCTGCTGCAGAGCAAGGTACAGCACACATGTAGAACCGCTTCCGTAGGACCTGAAGGAGACCAGCAGTCCTCAGATTACCAGATGGGCTCTGCTTCCTCAGACCCCACTAAACAGAAGCCCCTTTTTCCCAGTTCTGTGCAAAAGAAGCAAGGTACCACCAGGCATGATAATTTAAATCAGTGCAGAGGAATCTATGAGGGTGAGAATCTATGAGAACGATTGTTAGAATGAAATGCATCCAAGAGGACTTATCAGAACTTACAGGATTAGGCCTCGGAGGAAAGAAGAGCAGCCGGATAAGATAAATGGAATCACAGAAAGATTTCCGTTCACCAGAGATGAGTTCAAATCTGCAGCCAATTAGATTTCAGTCAAATTTGATGATCTTCAGGACAAGCAGAAGGGACCTAAAGCACCCAGAAACAATGATGGAGGCACATGTGCTCACAGTCAGATCGACTGAGGCATCAGGTTATCCTTAGTGAGCCACTGCCCCCTGGTGGAAGCACAGAAGCAGACCATCTGCAAGCACGAGCAGAGGCATCAGGACCTTGGAGAGCTCAAACAGTGCAGTGGAAAGAAGGACCTTAATCTGCTACAGGAACAGCTTTCCCTCCCACAGGCAGGAGGAGCCTGATTCTGGCTGCAGGGCTTTGAATGCTAGTTAGCAGAAGCCTGACATTCATCCTGCTACATCAGAACATGCTGTCAGCTCCTTTGTTTTCTTTTCTCCTTGTCGAGTTAAATCAGTTCAGTTTAATTATATTAACCTCAGCACATGTCATCTCAGGTCTCCCTACAGAGACAATTCAATCAGATCAAGAAGTCAGATTAAAAGCTCAAAGTTTTCTTTTCTATCTGAAGGAAACCTGAAGCCAGTCTTTGACTTTACTGGATTCTGTCTTCCTGGATGAACAGGTAGTCAGAGGATATTCGATTGCATTGTCTTGTTGTCTCTTCAGCAATCCCTCACAGTGAGCATGCAGGCAGCGACAGTGGGGGGAAAAAGACCTCCAGCAGAACCAGCAGCAGGCTCAGTGTGAGCAGCATTCTGCTGAGGTCCACTTGGGATCAACTAGACAGAAGCAGAAGTACTAAACGAACATAGAAAGAACTGATGATTTAATACTTTCTATGTTAGAAAAACATATTAAGCTAGCTCCACAGGTGGCTCTGTCTGGGAAAGAACAGTTTTCATGTCAAAAGGATGAAAGATAGAATATCCAGTTAGCCACAGAAGAAGGTGATCCCATAGCTATGACTGGGAAACAGGACTAAACACTGAAAAACAGGCCAAGCTCCAACATCTAGAAACAAAGGTGTTGAGATTCTGCAGAGTGGGAGAATAGAGATAGAATGAAGCAGAATGATGAAAAAGGGGTCCCTATGTCCTCCAGCAGTCTAAGCCTATAGCAGCAGAACTATAGAGATAGCTCAGGATAACCTGAGCCACTCCAGCTGATGAATAGCTAGTAAAAATCCATCTCTGTTTGGTGACGTCAGAGGACGAACCCTGTTGGGAGTAGCTCAACATTCTATAATAGATACGGATGTAAACACTGAGGATTGTTCCAGAACATCCAGTCTGGATTGGTTTGTACGGTTGAACCATCAGCCAGTTCTGTCTCAGGTAGTGATGTATCACACCTCACAGATCAGAACCATCCAGAGCGGACCTCTAGCCTACAGTCACACTCTGGACCTGAGGGCAGGCCGCAGCAGCCCCGGTAGAAAACACACGGCAGGGAAACATGGCTGCTACGGGTAGTATACCTCCTCCACCACTGTTACAAGCAATCATCTACTATCTTCTTCAAGGTGCAGCTAAAAACTCCATCCACCCTTCACTGCCAGGGTTGTCAGGTCTGCCTGTTTCCAGCCCAACCCCTCAGTAAAATAAACAGCATGAAGTCCTCCCAACCTTCCGTTAAAACCATGAACATCAGATGATGTTCCAGATATTACGGTAACATGAAATGAAAGCTGTCTTAAAGCCATTTTTCCCTCTTTCATCCCTCAGCTGCGCCTTGCAGAGGAAGCCAGTCAGAAGAGGAGACGGGTGGAGCCTGCAGACCTCAGCTCTGAGGAGAAATGTCAGAAAATAGAGAAGGAGATCCAGGAGCAGGAGACGCTCCTCAGAGGTTACCAGCAGGTTGGTGTCCTCATCCGTTCCTCTGAACATGTCCGGCGGTCGTACAGCAGGCCTTCTAGAACATCCTTAGCTCTCAGGAATAAATGCCTGAGCACAGCCAGTCCCATCCGACAGAAAACCGTGACGGACGAGGTCGTGGTTTTCAGCGCTCATTGAAAGTCACCCGACAGGATTTTAGGCAAGGCTGCATGGATCCTACAGAGAGAGAGCTCAGGTCTGTTTTAGTCAGACTACGCAGCAATTCAGCAGCAATTTCATGGATCTGACAGGAAGAGAGACGCGTTAACCCTTCATACCCTCACAGAAACCAGAATAAGAAGGAGCAGACAGAGCAGGTCAGCGCAGCGTATCTCTCTCACCTCTTTAGGAAAAAAGAAAGAAAAACTGTGATAAACTTCCCAGATCTCTCTGAGAATCACCTCTCTGTCTCAGTCACCATAGAAACCGTCCCACAGAGTTTATTGCTGCGTTTTTCTTTTCTCTAGATGTAGATCTAATTATGTTTTTAACAGAAGTAAATAAAATGTGCTCACCCTGCCTAGACAGAGCCTCTCTATGCGCAGTCAGTGTGACATGGAAAGAAATCGTATCAGAGATTAAAAGTCATACGCTGCCGGTGTGTTCAGGCCTTATCAGGTCTCAGGGAAACAAGGCACCAGTTTTTGTTTTTTTATTCAGTGACATCTTTACCGGATATATTTGATATTAATCAAAGTTCCTTCTCACTGGAAAACATGAAAGCATATTAAAGACATCTTTCATCACAGTCATTGCGACCATTACCTGCCATTGATGTCCAGGCTTGACTAATATGTTTTCAACCACAATGAATCATGGGAAATGTGGTCTATGAGGGATAGCTCAGAGCCACCCTATAAATTTCCACTGATATGTTGCAGCACAGCGATGTGACGCGTTTCACAAGCAGCAGCTGCTGGACGCTCCGCATCAACCAATCAGAGAAGCTGATCTGGGAGAGACAGCACTGCTGATGCAGAACGCTATGATCACTACTCTGAAACAGTTTATTAAAGGAAAAGTTCGGTCAGCAAGAAATAATCAATGGATCATTATTTATACCTAAAACTAATAAGTAATTAATTTAATTTAGCTTTAATTGGTAAAAAAATAATAATAGGTTTTTGTTGCGATCACTGAGTCTGGGAGCGGCCATTTTTGCCCAAATATAGTAGCCCCTCCCTCCTGCCATCTTCCAGCAGTGACGTCACGGTGCGGTAAGCCTAGCGCCATTCTCCCCGCTTTCCAAGCTAAATCAATGGGAACTACTAGACACATCTGCAATCAACAACAATTATTGAAGATTTCCAGAGGACTTCACCATTGAAATTGTCTACTTTTAAGGCTAGGCTTAAAACTTTCATTTTTGATAAAGCTTATAGTTAGGGTGGCTCAGGTTATCCTGATCTATCTCTATAGTTATGCTGCTATAGGCTTAGACTTTTGGAGGACATAGGGACCCCCATTTCATCATTCTGCTTCATTCTCTCTCTGTTCTCCTATTCTGCAGAATCTGTTAGTTCAATCTCTAACCTTCTGCTCTCTCTGCTTTTCCTCAGAGTAGCTTTGCCTCGTCTGTTCCTGTTTGGCTGTGACGTCATCCTGGAAAAAAACATCAGCTGTGCTGCTTCTATCAACACCCTTGTTAATAGATGTTGGAGATCGGCCTGTTTTCCAGTGTGGTCCTGTTTCTCTGACCGTGACTGAGTGGATGTGCTCTCTTCGTCCTCTGGCATGGGAGCTGCCTTGGAGCTCGTCTGCCTGGCTGTGTGTTTCCTGGACGGGGCCGCCTTTTACAGCTGCTTTTTGTATCTCTGCTTCTGTCTCCTTGAACCCCAGTCGGCCTCGGCAGATGGCCGCTCACACTGAGCCTGGTTCTGCTGGAGGTTTCTTCCTGTTAAAAGGGAGTTTTTCCTCTCCACTGTCGCTACAAGCATGCTTAGTGTGGGGGATTGTATTTGAGTCAATGAGTCAATGCAATCAGCTGGTTTTCCTTAGATAGAAAACTTTGTATCAATTTGACTGTATGATCTGGTTGAACTGTAAAGTGCCTTGAGATGACATGTGTTGTGAATTTGGCGCTATATAAATAAACTGAATTGAATTGAATTGAATTGAAATTCACCAGAGCTATAGTGAAACTGACAATGCCCACGTGCATGGCAGCTGGATGCTGGAATACATCGGGTAAAAGTGAAAAAAAGAGTTATTCCACCTTTCTGATTCCTGATCCTCCACGGACGGGTTGGTCGTTGGATCGCCAACTTGAAGAGGGAGGATTTGCCATCGAACTTCTGGCCAGAGAAAAAACCCGTAATATGTAGCCAACATTTGGAAGAAGAATGTTTTCAAGATGACTTGGATAATAGCGCGTTGTGACAAACACCAGATACAGCACTGGGACTTGATCAACAGCCGATACCGCACCGTGACAATGTCACTAACCAGTAGGTGGCAGTAGTGTTCTTTGACAAACATGGATGCCTCCAGTAAAACACATTCACATGGAAATTACTCTGAATTAAAAACATTGATCATTTATAGGGCTGGGTATTGTTCAAAAATTTTCGGTTCCGGTACCAATACCGATACCTTCACTTCGATACCGGTTCCTGAACGATACTTTTTTCGATACCAGTTTTATAATATCAATTTGAGAAAAAAAAGAAAATTACACAACATAAAAAAGTACAAATCTTGAGTTTTATTTTAAGCACCGCTGGTATGGGGGGGTCTGAGCGGCTCCCACAGAAATATTGGAAGGCAGGATGAACTGACTGCACCGATTAAGTTTTCAGGTGTATTTCCCCACTTAAAAACATAATAAAACTTCTTTATTCCCACTGATCACAGCAAATATAGCTGCAAGGCAAATAAAGGATAGAGAAGCTCCGCCCAACGCGCGTCAGAGCCACTTTTGCACCGCAAAGCCAGAGCAGCTTCAGCCGCGCGTCAGAACTAACTGGTACAAGCAGCAAAAAGGAAGCAGCAGACGTGATTTTGCTGCTCCTGCTGCGTCCAGTTTGAAAGCAGCATGATTCACTCCGCTCTGGCTTTGCTCTGCCCACGGGCTGCTGAGAGGAGGATGGTGGCGCCGGCTGCGGTCCGCTCTTCTTGCAGTCAAACACCGAGCAACTTTCTGCTCTTAAATTGTTTCCGTGCACGATATATTGCAATGCGCACTATTGGCATCAGTCTTAATAAAGTGAAGCCACACTTTTGACCTGGGGGGCATTTTAAAGGGGTTCCGCGACGCTCACAACCAGTTCACAACAGATACACATGAACCCTGGCTGTAGGCGTGACCACCTGTGTATTTTTCCTGGATGACGCAATCACGTTAAGTGTTACAGCCAATCACCGAAACTTGGTACCGAAAGACGAGGCATGTTTCGATACTCTGTAGAACCGAAGCATTTCGGTCGGTACCATAAAAGAACCGAAGTTCGGTACCCAGCCCTACATCATTTATTGAACAGGATGGAATTTAATATTTAAAGTAATTTCAGAAGTTTGTATTCTGAATATGAGCGACTTTTCCTTTAATGCCTAAATTAACTGTGGGGGTCTGAGCGGCTCCCACAGAGAAATAATCTTTGAAGGCAGGATGGTAATCTGGATGAACTGATGCACTTCAGGAGCATCAAAGATGAAGCAGCGGGCGCCTTTTTGCCGCTAAAAGTGTGTGCGGTGTGGACGTAGCATAAGGGTTCTAGAGGGGCGATCAGTGGGAGTACTGGTTTCTGGTTCTGCTTTGGGTACCGTCTGTCTGGAAGCTGTGAATCTGAACATGTTTTCAGGAGAACGAGAAGCTGTACCTCCAGATGAAGGCCCAGCAGGCCCAGAGCAAAGCCAACCAGGAGGCCATGTTTACGGAGAACCAGAGGCTGCTGAACGAGCTGGCTCACACGAGGTGGCATTAGTTCATGGGAGCAGAATCCCCTCGCTCGTCCTTGGTGTCCGCTCACCATGTGTCTGACCTCCATCCCCATCAGGGAGCAGCTGAGGAACACCTGGAGGCCCGTGGATCAAACCAAACAGATCTCTGAGCTGCAGGCTGAGATCCGCCTCCTTCAGGTCGGTGACGGTGCAGCTGAGGTGGATCCAGCGGATCTCCTCCTACCATCTGTGTTTGTGTTTGCAGAAGAAGCAGGCAGAGCTGTCTGAGGAGAAGCGCTCTCTGGACGTGGAGCTGCAGCTGCTGAGGAAGGAGCGAGACGAGGGAAGAGCAGGTGAGCTTTCCACTGTTGATGGTCAGCCTCCCTGCAGGTCTCTGCTGTCTCCATGGTGACTCTCCATGTGTGGCAGGAGAGAAGCTCTCTGAGGCGGAGGAGGTGGCGGCTCTGAAGAAGAAGCTGCAGTGGTTTGCTGAGAACCAGGAGCTGCTGGACATAGACGCCCGGAGGCTGAAGGAGGCGACCGCTGAGATCCTCCGCCTCCGAGATCAGGTGGGGTTCCCTCTTTACCGGAACCCACTGGGCTTCAGAGAGGGAAGCAGGTCGTTTACCGACGATCAGCAGCTGGTTTCTGTTACAGGTGGAGAAGCTGAAGCAGGAAACGGGCCAAGGAAGCAGGAAGCAGCAGAGGAAGATCAGAGACGGATCTGCAGACAGGAGGAAAATGCAGGAGCTCCAGCGACAGGTTTGAGATCAGAGCGGTCAGTCAGTGCTCCTCCACAGGCCTTCATCACCTCGCTGTTCTTTCCTCCACCAGGTCAAGGAGCTGGAGCAGATCCTGAGGAGCAGGAACCCAAACTCTCTCCCAGCTCTGATTTATGCCGCAGCCACGGAGGACGGCGCCTCCGCCGGGACGCCGCCGCCCAGCCGGGTCAACGCGCTGCTGGAACGCAGAGTTCAGCGCCTGGAATCTGAACTGGAGAGTCACGACGAGGAGGCCAAGCGCAGCCTGAGGGCCATGGAGCAGCAGTTCCACCGGATCAGGGTAACCAGCCTGGGTCTGTGCTCTGCCCGCCCGCCCTCTACCTTCCTGTTGGATGACTCTCTCTCTGCTCTGCAGCTGCGCTACGAGCAGCAGATCAGTGAGCTGGAGCAGCAGCTGCTGCAGAGACGGCCGACCGAAGCAGCGGCACCTGCAGCGGAGCTGCGGCGGGAAAAGATCAGCCACCAGGAGAAAGAGGAGAGTCTGCAGGAGCAGATAGAAGCTCTGCAGCAGCAGCTCAGACCAAAGGTCAGCAGCTCATGGTTCGTTCACATCGACCAGGCCTAACGCCACCGCAGGTAGAGGCGCCTTCAGGAGCGAAGCAAAGCCTGCGGTGGAAAGTGTTTAAAGAAGAAAGAGAGTTTAAAGATCTGAACCTTGAAACGGAGATGAAGATGCAAACTAAAAGTTCTAGCAGTCCGTCAGGAGAACCCTTAGATCAGTCATCATCTCCTCAGCTGCTCCTGTCCTGTGGGAGGAAGCTGGAGTACCCAGAGAGAAGCCACCCTGATCCAACTGCATGTTTAGGATATTCTCTCTCAGAACAGAAAGATGGATGACGGATGGGTTAGGATATGTGGTCGCTAACCTAACTAACTCCTCCCATCCAGGTCCAGTCCAGCCCAGGCCGGCACCAGCGCCAAGCTGAGGCTGCGTTCGGCGCCAGGATAGAGCGACTGAACCGAGAGCTCGCCACCAAGAACCGAAGAATTCAGGAGCTGAACCGGACCGTGGAGAGGCTGAAGGGAGAGCGGCGAGGCGCGCCGTCCGCACCGCGCCGCTCTGCGGAGAGCGGACCATGCGCCGGGCCGACCGGACCTCAGCAACACGCAGCAGGAACCAACATGGAGGAAGAAACCTTCCCTGCTGCCCAGAACGAGAAGACTTACCAGCCCACCGTGTTCACAGGTCTGACATAGGAGATGATGGAGCATCAGTGGAAGGCTTTATGGCTCTGAGGGCCCAGTTAAACCAGTATACTGGGTTTCATTTCTCCATCTATCTGAACAGACTCTCCTCTGGGTCTCCATGGAGACGGCTCAGTAATGGATGGGTCTAAACTCTAAGCAGGATCAGGTCTGCAGTAACGTTTATTGGAGCAGAAAGTGCCCCGATAGGTTCTGGTTCCGACCGTCATGAAGGATCCAGTTCTGTCCCTCAGAACTGGTCTTGGTCGTCCAAGGAAGCCGGTTCCATTAAGTTCAACCAATCAATGTCTTTATTGTCAACTACAATTTACATTTTAATCAAGATTTCAGTTTCAGTACAAACTGTTCATCACATAGAGTGGGGTGGGGGGGCTGACGGGGGAACTATTTACTGAGGCCATGTGAGCAGTTCTTCTGGGCCCTTCCACCATAACATCCAGGGGAGTTTTGATAAGGGGGGGGGGGGGGGGGGAATCCAGAATAACACTTATTGTTTTGAGACCAGGCTGCTCAGGAATGTTCAGCCTTGACTCTTTTCTTGCTGGCTCTATGTGGCAAATCCTTTATTCCAAACTTTTTGGGCTTTTCCGCCTTGAAGCGAGCGTGCACATCCAAGATATTATCCCATCTCACCTTTGAGTTCAACCAGCCTGCGTTCAATCATAGCCAGCATACGGCTCATCTACCAGTTTTACTCATTCACAGCTTTCTGAGGGCGTCAACCGCTGCCGGCAGCCTCATCATCGCCCAAATTCCAGCCAACATCCTCCGTAATTGTAGATAGATTGTAGATGTCCTCCAAATCCAAACAGGAGAAATCAGAGTATGATAAATCAGGAATTCATACATCTTCAATATCCTCCACTGAAAACATTGTGAAACACACCATCCTCCAAGCCTTGCAGGAGTCCATGGTGTATCCCATGAAGTATGTCCCAGCAGAACAGGACGGCTCCCCTTTCCCCTGTCTTCCAGTTGAATAAATGAGATTAATGGCATTGAGAGAACAACAAGCATTGTTTGAGTTCAGGTTAAATGAAGAGAGCTCAGAAAGACAAGACACAGCAAAGCAGGGACAGAGCAGGAACATGTGACCTTCATGAGTCAGAACAGATCATCCAAGTTCTGGGCTTTACATCAGTCCTGTTCTTGTAGTCAGTTCTGTGGTGATGAAACTGAGTCTGTCCAGTTAATGGCAGCAGTAGATCCACCAGCACCTTCATCTACTGGACCGAATGCAGCAGAGTCACTGCTGATATCTATGGGTGTGATGTCGGTCCTACAGAACTTACCTGGTACCGCCCTGTTGGTTCCGTACTCTATTTTCTCTGGTCCCCTCCCTGATCTGACCAGTGATGACATGTTTAGCCGCATGTCGTCATTCAACCGCTGGTTGTCTAGGTGGTGCCCTGAAAGCAACGTGGGCTACATTAATAATTGGCAATCCTTTTGGGGAAAGCCTGGTCTGATTCGGAGAGACGGCATCCATCCCACTTTGGATGGTGCAGCTCTTCTTTCTAGGAATCTGGCCACATTTATTAGTCCTCCAAAACCCTGACCCCCCAGGGTGCAGACCAGGAAGCAGAGTCCTAGTTTAACAGACCTCTCTGCAGCTTCTCTACTGTTACCCACTCTTTACTCCATCCAGACAGTGTCTTGCCCACGACCAAAATCTAATAAATTAGCAAAGATTCCCAAAGGAGTAAATCATGATAATCTAATTAAAATCCAAATAACTCCAATTGCTGAAGAGTCAATGAGTCGATGCAATCAGCTGGTTTTCCTTAGATAGAAAACTTTGAATCAATCTGACTGGATGATCTAGTGAACTGGAAAGTGACCTGAGATGACATGATGTGAATTGGAGCTACAGAAATAAACTGAATTGAATCATTACAGCAACTTCTTTTTTGGGGGGAGTTTTTTTCTGACAGTAGGCTGACAGCAGAGGGGGGATGAGAGAGGGGGAGGTGGGACCACAGGTGGGATTGGAACCCGGGTCGGCCGCGTGGAGGACTAGGGCCTCTGTACATGGGTGGTGCACGCTAACCACTTGCTTATTTTGCATTTTGGTCGTTATAGAGATTAATCCATCCCAGCCCTGTTTACTGGTATTCCTTTATCTGGGAAGTAAATTATTAAATGTGGAACCAGTATCCCTGGTTGGGAACCGGTCCCTGGCTAAATGAGGACTGTGAAGGGAGGAGATGCACTTCTGGACCAGAAGGAGCCTCTGGTGGACCACAGCTCCTGATCTAATGTCTGATCTGTGCCTGAAGAAGACTAAACTGTCTGATGATGCGATGCTTTTAGAAGCGCAGCTCCTGTGGACTGATCTCTGGACCTTCTCCCACCTTCTGGTAGGAAGCCACATCTCCGAGGTGCTGCAGGAGAACGAGGCTCTGAGGGAGCGTGTGGAGCAGCTTCAGCTGCAGAGTGAGAAGGATCAGGAGGAGCTGCAGGCCAGAGCTGCTCGGGCAGAGGAGGAGCTGTCCAGGTGAGTATCCTGCCTCTGACGCCTTGTTCACCTCCAGAAGGAGGCTAACCAGCAGGCTGGGACGCTCTGCTGCAGGCTGAGGGAACGCTCTGCGGAGCAGCTGTCCTCCATGAAGGCGGAGCACCTGAGGGTTCTGGACCGCCTGCGTGCCGCCCATGCTCTGGAGCACTCCTCATCCAAGGTGGCAGAACTGAGCAATAAGCTCCAGACTCAGGAGGTACCGGTTCCATCCAGCCCAACGTCTGCAGCACAGCAGGAACGGAGCTCACTGCCTCTGCTCTGCATCTCCTGACAGGTGGCCATCAAGCACCTGCAGCAGCAGCTGAAGGAGCTGCAGGAAAGTAAAGAGGCCCTCTGCATCTCCAGGAGGAGAGAGGAAGCTCTGCAGAAGCAGGTCAGCTGATCTCCACTTCCCTATGAGCTTTGCTAGGTGACCTCTGAGGACTCATCATCTTCAGGTTCTGATTTGTTTGGTCTCTGACTCTGATTTGATGTCCCTGAACAACAGAAAGCAGAACGTTTGTGAGTCAAACACAAGTTTACAGGTTTAGATCTGATGCGGGGCTGAAGCTTCTTTGCTGCTCTAGCTGCGCGGTGACGCGCCTCAGATGCTCAGAAGTTAATGAGGCGCTCAGAACGTGCTGCAGGACGTTTAGCTGCGCCTTGATGCGCGTCAACCATTGACTTTGCCTGTAAACCTGCTGCTTCTGCTGCTCGCGGTCTGAACGTAGCATTATGAGTCAGGGGCTTCTACTGGCTGGATTCCTGGGAACTCTCCTGTGATTGGCCCATAAACCAGGAAGTAATAAAAGGTTACACAGCGTAGTTCCAGTGCATCAACGTTGTTGATGGAACGCACTGACTGTTTATAGGAAATGGAACTATCATCAAACCGGATGATTTGGCTTAATTTTACAGTAAATGTATCACTTCTTGGATTTCTATAGAATGATTTAAAGAACAGTTCTTGTCTGAAACGGTAGAAAATAACTTTTCGACTGTTCTGAATCAAACACGCTTCACACAGCAGGCTGCAAATGAGCCTAAAGCGGCTGGTTATCGGCGTGGCGTTACCAGGTGATGGAGCTGCTCCCTGGACAGTAACCAGCATCCATCAGGGGTTCAGGAGCTGATTACGCCTCCTAGTGGCGCTTTTAGCCAATCACAGCAGCTGGCCTATATCCCATTCTTGGTTGGTTTTACGTCTCGCAGAGTTAACTGATGAATCAAAGTCGTACCAAATCTGGTCAGCAGGATCACGCAGACATCTTTCCTTTGGCTCGTCTGGTAAAGGAAATAGAGGCTATTCCAGCTCCTTGTTCGCTTTGCTCCAGCCGCCTCTGGATGAGGTCATACATACCGCTGCTTTTCATTGGTCCAAATATTCCAAATGTTTGGACCAATGAAATGTATTTTCGTGAGTTGATGAATTTCCAAATCTCGCGACCAATCATCTTGCAGGATTAATAAACCAATGAATTGTTCTGTGTATCTGAAACCACGGCTTTGAACCACTAGTTTGTTTTTAGGATTAGTCATTCCTCTTTTATTGAACTATAGTGTGAATAAAAACGTACTGCTATGGTTATGGTGCGTCCTTCCTGGGTCCTCAGGTGATGGACTGAGCATGTCCCCCCCCCTCTGCAGCTTTTGGTTTATGCTCCTGTCCTCTGATGCTGACTGTGGGTCTGTCCTCTGATGCTGACTGTGGGTCTGTCCTCTGATGCTGACTGTGGGTCTGTCCTCTGATGCTGACTGGGTCTGTCCTCTGATGCTGACTGGGTCTGTCCTCTGATGCTGACTGTGGGTCTGTCCTCTGATGCTGACTGGGTCTGTCCTCTGATGCTGACTGTGGGTCTGTCCTCTGATGCTGACTGGGTCTGTCCTCTGATGCTGACTGTGGGTCTGTCCTCTGATGCTGACTGGGTCTGTCCTCTGATGCTGACTGGGTCTGTCCTCTGATGCTGACTGGGTCTGCCCTCTGATGCTGACTGTGGGTCTGTCCTCTGATGCTGACTGGGTCTGTCCTCTGATGCTGACTGGGTCTGTCCTCTGATGCTGACTGTGGGTCTGTCCTCTGATGCTGACTGTGGGTCTGTCCTCTGATGCTGACTGGGTCTGTCCTCTGATGCTGACTGTGGGTCTGTCCTCTGATGCTGACTGTGGGTCTGTCCTCTGATGCTGACTGGGTCTGTCCTCTGATGCTGACTGTGGGTCTGTCCTCTGATGCTGACTGGGTCTGCCCTCTGATGCTGACTGTGGGTCTGTCCTCTGATGCTGACTGTGGGTCTGTCCTCTGATGCTGACTGTGGGTCTGCCCTCTGATGCTGACTGTGGTTCTGTCCTCTGATGCTGACTGTGGGTCTGTCCTCTGATGCTGACTGTGGGTCTGTCCTCTGATGCTGACTGGGTCTGCCCTCTGATGCTGACTGTGGTTCTGTCCTCTGATGCTGACTGTGGGTCTGTCCTCTGATGCTGACTGTGGGTCTGTCCTCTGATGCTGACTGGGTCTGTCCTCTGATGCTGACTGGGTCTGTCCTCTGATGCTGACTGTGGGTCTGTCCTCTGATGCTGACTGGGTCTGCCCTCTGATGCTGACTGTGGGTCTGTCCTCTGATGCTGACTGTGGGTCTGTCCTCTGATGCTGACTGGGTCTGTCCTCTGATGCTGACTGGGTCTGTCCTCTGATGCTGACTGTGGGTCTGTCCTCTGATGCTGACTGGGTCTGTCCTCTGATGCTGACTGGGTCTGTCCTCTGATGCTGACTGTGGGTCTGTCCTCTGATGCTGACTGGGTCTGCCCTCTGATGCTGACTGTGGGTCTGTCCTCTGATGCTGACTGGGTCTGCCCTCTGATGCTGACTGTGGGTCTGTCCTCTGATGCTGACTGGGTCTGCCCTCTGATGCTGACTGTGGGTCTGTCCTCTGATGCTGACTGGGTCTGCCCTCTGATGCTGACTGTGGGTCTGTCCTCTGATGCTGACTGTGGGTCTGTCCTCTGATGCTGACTGGGTCTGTCCTCTGATGCTGACTGGGTCTGTCCTCTGATGCTGACTGTGGGTCTGTCCTCTGATGCTGACTGTGGGTCTGTCCTCCTGCTTAGCTCACCCAGCTGCTGCAGGAGCTGAAGGAGGCCAAAGAAGCTCAGAGCTCCGAGGTGAAGCTTCTCTGCAGCCTGGAGAGGAAGATCATCAACATGGAGCTGAGACAGGAGCACAGAGAGAAGGAGCTGCAGCAGGTACCCTGAACGTCTCCTCAAACATGGCTTCCTGCAGCAGCTTTTCCCGTTAGACCAGAATGACTGAACATCAGAAACACACTTTCACAGAGGAGGAAGGAAGCCAAATGCTGATAGTTAGCAGGTCGACCCAGGATTGAAAAACATGTTAACCCGATATTTTCAGTGACTTTGCCTGTAAACCTGCTGCTTCTGCTGCTCGCGGTCTGAACGTAGCATTATGAGTCAGGGGCTTCTACTGGCTGGATTCCTGGGAACTCTCCTGTGATTGGCCCATAAACCAGGAAGTAATAAAAGGTTACACAGCGTAGTTCCAGTGCATCAACGTTGTTGATGGAACGCACTGACTGTTTATAGGAAATGGAACTATCATCAAACCGGATGATTTGGCTTAATTTTACAGTAAATGTATCACTTCTTGGATTTCTATAGAATGATTTAAAGAACAGTTCTTGTCTGAAACGGTAGAAAATAACTTTTCGACTGTTCTGAATCAAACACGCTTCACACAGCAGGCTGCAAATGAGCCTAAAGCGGCTGGTTATCGGCGTGGCGTTACCAGGTGATGGAGCTGCTCCCTGGACAGTAACCAGCATCCATCAGGGGTTCAGGAGCTGATTACGCCTCCTAGTGGCGCTTTTAGCCAATCACAGCAGCTGGCCTATATCCCATTCTTGGTTGGTTTTACGTCTCGCAGAGTTAACTGATGAATCAAAGTCGTACCAAATCTGGTCAGCAGGATCACGCAGACATCTTTCCTTTGGCTCGTCTGGTAAAGGAAATAGAGGCTATTCCAGCTCCTTGTTCGCTTTGCTCCAGCCGCCTCTGGATGAGGTCATACATACCGCTGCTTTTCATTGGTCCAAATATTCCAAATGTTTGGACCAATGAAATGTATTTTCGTGAGTTGATGAATTTCCAAATCTCGCGACCAATCATCTTGCAGGATTAATAAACCAATGAATTGTTCTGTGTATCTGAAACCACGGCTTTGAACCACTAGTTTGTTTTTAGGATTAGTCATTCCTCTTTTATTGAACTATAGTGTGAATAAAAACGTACTGCTATGGTTATGGTGCGTCCTTCCTGGGTCCTCAGGTGATGGACTGAGCATGTCCCCCCCCCTCTGCAGCTTTTGGTTTATGCTCCTGTCCTCTGATGCTGACTGTGGGTCTGTCCTCTGATGCTGACTGTGGGTCTGTCCTCTGATGCTGACTGTGGGTCTGTCCTCTGATGCTGACTGGGTCTGTCCTCTGATGCTGACTGGGTCTGTCCTCTGATGCTGACTGTGGGTCTGTCCTCTGATGCTGACTGGGTCTGTCCTCTGATGCTGACTGGGTCTGTCCTCTGATGCTGACTGTGGGTCTGTCCTCTGATGCTGACTGGGTCTGTCCTCTGATGCTGACTGGGTCTGTCCTCTGATGCTGACTGGGTCTGCCCTCTGATGCTGACTGTGGGTCTGTCCTCTGATGCTGACTGGGTCTGCCCTCTGATGCTGACTGTGGTTCTGTCCTCTGATGCTGACTGTGGGTCTGTCCTCTGATGCTGACTGTGGGTCTGTCCTCTGATGCTGACTGGGTCTGCCCTCTGATGCTGACTGTGGTTCTGTCCTCTGATGCTGACTGTGGGTCTGTCCTCTGATGCTGACTGTGGGTCTGTCCTCTGATGCTGACTGGGTCTGTCCTCTGATGCTGACTGGGTCTGTCCTCTGATGCTGACTGTGGGTCTGTCCTCTGATGCTGACTGGGTCTGCCCTCTGATGCTGACTGTGGGTCTGTCCTCTGATGCTGACTGTGGGTCTGTCCTCTGATGCTGACTGTGGGTCTGTCCTCTGATGCTGACTGTGGGTCTGCCCTCTGATGCTGACTGTGGGTCTGTCCTCTGATGCTGACTGTGGGTCTGTCCTCTGATGCTGACTGTGGGTCTGTCCTCTGATGCTGACTGGGTCTGCCCTCTGATGCTGACTGTGGTTCTGTCCTCTGATGCTGACTGTGGGTCTGTCCTCTGATGCTGACTGGGTCTGTCCTCTGATGCTGACTGTGGGTCTGTCCTCTGATGCTGACTGGGTCTGTCCTCTGATGCTGACTGGGTCTGTCCTCTGATGCTGACTGGGTCTGCCCTCTGATGCTGACTGTGGGTCTGTCCTCTGATGCTGACTGGGTCTGCCCTCTGATGCTGACTGTGGTTCTGTCCTCTGATGCTGACTGTGGGTCTGTCCTCTGATGCTGACTGTGGGTCTGTCCTCTGATGCTGACTGGGTCTGCCCTCTGATGCTGACTGTGGTTCTGTCCTCTGATGCTGACTGTGGGTCTGTCCTCTGATGCTGACTGTGGGTCTGTCCTCTGATGCTGACTGGGTCTGTCCTCTGATGCTGACTGGGTCTGTCCTCTGATGCTGACTGTGGGTCTGTCCTCTGATGCTGACTGGGTCTGCCCTCTGATGCTGACTGTGGGTCTGTCCTCTGATGCTGACTGTGGGTCTGTCCTCTGATGCTGACTGGGTCTGTCCTCTGATGCTGACTGGGTCTGTCCTCTGATGCTGACTGTGGGTCTGTCCTCTGATGCTGACTGGGTCTGTCCTCTGATGCTGACCGTGGGTCTGTCCTCTGATGCTGACTGGGTCTGTCCTCTGATGCTGACTGGGTCTGTCCTCTGATGCTGACTGGGTCTGTCCTCTGATGCTGACTGTGGGTCTGTCCTCTGATGCTGACTGGGTCTGTCCTCTGATGCTGACTGGGTCTGTCCTCTGATGCTGACTGGGTCTGTCCTCTGATGCTGACTGGGTCTGCCCTCTGATGCTGACTGTGGGTCTGTCCTCTGATGCTGACTGGGTCTGCCCTCTGATGCTGACTGTGGTTCTGTCCTCTGATGCTGACTGTGGGTCTGTCCTCTGATGCTGACTGTGGGTCTGTCCTCTGATGCTGACTGGGTCTGTCCTCTGATGCTGACTGGGTCTGTCCTCTGATGCTGACTGTGGGTCTGTCCTCTGATGCTGACTGGGTCTGCCCTCTGATGCTGACTGTGGGTCTGTCCTCTGATGCTGACTGTGGGTCTGTCCTCTGATGCTGACTGTGGGTCTGCCCTCTGATGCTGACTGTGGGTCTGTCCTCTGATGCTGACTGTGGGTCTGTCCTCTGATGCTGACTGTGGGTCTGTCCTCTGATGCTGACTGGGTCTGCCCTCTGATGCTGACTGTGGTTCTGTCCTCTGATGCTGACTGTGGGTCTGTCCTCTGATGCTGACTGTGGGTCTGTCCTCTGATGCTGACTGGGTCTGTCCTCTGATGCTGACTGGGTCTGTCCTCTGATGCTGACTGGGTCTGCCCTCTGATGCTGACTGTGGGTCTGTCCTCTGATGCTGACTGGGTCTGCCCTCTGATGCTGACTGTGGGTCTGTCCTCTGATGCTGACTGGGTCTGCCCTCTGATGCTGACTGTGGGTCTGTCCTCTGATGCTGACTGGGTCTGCCCTCTGATGCTGACTGTGGGTCTGTCCTCTGATGCTGACTGTGGGTCTGTCCTCTGATGCTGACTGGGTCTGTCCTCTGATGCTGACTGGGTCTGTCCTCTGATGCTGACTGTGGGTCTGTCCTCTGATGCTGACTGTGGGTCTGTCCTCCTGCTTAGCTCACCCAGCTGCTGCAGGAGCTGAAGGAGGCCAAAGAAGCTCAGAGCTCCGAGGTGAAGCTTCTCTGCAGCCTGGAGAGGAAGATCATCAACATGGAGCTGAGACAGGAGCACAGAGAGAAGGAGCTGCAGCAGGTACCCTGAACGTCTCCTCAAACATGGCTTCCTGCAGCAGCTTTTCCCGTTAGACCAGAATGACTGAACATCAGAAACACACTTTCACAGAGGAGGAAGGAAGCCAAATGCTGATAGTTAGCAGGTCGACCCAGGATTGAAAAACATGTGTTAACCCGATATTTTCAGTGAATTAGAGGCTTTACTACAGTGGCCCTGAAGTGCAAACTGCAACTACAAATCTAAAAGTGCAACTACATTAAGGAAAACACAATTACATTAACCTACCGGAAAAGGTAGGTACCAGTGGGAAACATGAGACATCGCTGATTAGACGACGGCGCCGTTTGAACCTTGAACCGGCAGTCATTCTGCCTGCTGCGGCTTTTTTGAAAACATGGATATTGTCGGCGCCCCGAACATAGCTGCCGTTATCCAGGAATATTTGGAATCAGGACATACGTACGAGGTGATACTGGATATGCTCAAGACTAATCACCAAATTTCAGTTAGTTTGCGTACACTGAAGACACACTTAAAAGAAGCTGGACTGTTCAGACGACGCAACTTCCGGTTCAAGGGTCAAACGGCGCCGTCGTCCAATCAGCGATGTCTCATGTTTCCCACTGGTACCTACCTTTTCCGGTAGGTTCATGGAATTGTGTTTTCATTAATGTAGTTGCAGTTTGCACTTCAGGGCCACCATACTTTACAGACCCCAGTGGGGTCTAGCACCCCTAGTGGCTAAAAGTTACAGTGATGTATTAGGCAGAAAGCTTAAAGCTACAGTGTGTAATTTTCAGCGACATCTAACGTCCAGACTGCAGACCGCAGCAACATGAACATCTGCCCCCCCACCGCTTCTCCCCCCCCAACAGTACGGCGAGCGTTACGGGACAAAATGTCTTCCACGACGTCCGCATCACCTACCTTCTCAAGTGATGAGGTTTGTTTACATAGATAATTTTAATACTGCCATCTACTGTTCAGTACCGTCTCAGTTCATCTCTCTCAACTTGCCGTAGTTACTTTCGAGCATAATGGGCGATCTCGCAATCGCTAGTTTGTTGGCTCTGCGCTGCCGTAGCGCAAAGATGTCTGCCTCCATGGCTGCGAGACCCGCTCCTATGTAATTATAAATAACGAATTCTAAGGCAACGCAAATATTAAGGTTAAGAGGCTGAGCTCATAGGTGATGATAAATAACATAGTTATGTATAATATATTACATTTCTGACTGTATATCCCTGTAATTATTACACACTGTAGCTTTAAATATTTATTTTCATCAGCAGTAATAGATTATCAGCTTCATTCTATTCAGGGATCCATCAGTGCTAACAGTTAGCATTAGGAAATCTGAGGAAGGAACGATCAGAGTCTGTTCCTTTCATCTGATGAGTTTGATCTTTTGGACCAACCAAAGTGCATGTTTACCACAGTAAATGAGAACTGCTCCACTCTAGAGTTCTTTGAATAGTTTTTAAATCAGCGGCGTCCCATCGCAGCTCCTCTTTTAGAAGAAGTACTGACCGCCATGTTGGGTTGGTATGAGCTGCCTGATACCGTCACCTGTAGCAGCTCAGGGGGTTGTAATGAATGTCTAATCAGCTTTGAGTGAACTGAGAGTTTTCCCATTAGAAAGCTTTAAAAAGCCTCCAGGACCAGCGTCTCTGGGAGCTGCAGGGCGTTCCTGCTCACCTTTAAACTGATGCGCTGCCTTCAGCAGGCAGAGGCTCCAAACGTTTCCTCACTGTGTTTACAAACCTGATCATCACCCAGAGAAAATGTTCCTGCTCTTATGGAAGCAGAGTAAAACGCTCAGTCCGTCTCCCTCCTGGTCTCTGCAGGTGGTCGCCGACACCTTTCACATGTCGGCGGCTGATCTGCAGTCAGAAGTGGAGCGATGGCGGCGACTGGCGCAGGACAGGAGCAGAGAGCTGGACGCTTTCCGCTCAGAGCTGGACTCCATCCTGGACATCCTGAGACACCTCCAGAAGCAGGGGGGGTCCTCCCACCCCTGAGATAACAGCCCGCCTGCTGCAGGACCGTTAGCGGCCATCAGAGGCGCGGCTGCCGCTCTCTGATCAGTGACTCTGAGCCTTTAGATGTTTTCTACCTAATTTATTATTGATGTAATAAATAAACATTAAATAAATGATACTTTAACAGACTGCGGATTATTAAACTGGAATTTAAAAACCTGCAAACTTAGCCAGTCTGGTCCAGTATGGACCCAGTCTGAGTAAAGATGGCTGCCTTCTCCAATGGGATCAGTAACAAATACTTCCCCTAAATTCAATCTGAGGAACATTTCCACAAACATTCAGAATATATAATTTATGAATATACTAAATAACTCTGAAGATGCAGATAAATTTCCATAAACCTGACAGCAAAGTGAGCTCATGTCGCACCATCGAAGTTAAGATGAATTCAGCTTCATCACTGATGGATTTTATTCCAATAAAGCAGAAAAAAGATCAAAGATGTTCATTTTCTTTTATTAGGCAAAGAGTTATTAATAGAAACCCGACTAAATAAGGAGACCTGAGACAGTTTAAAGAGTCCTGATTAGACAGAAGCACCAGAGGACGAAGAACAATCGCACCAACATCTGGAGAAACATCAGCTGTGAAGAAACCATCTTTCTTTATATAGAAAAGTCTTTTTAGCAGAAAGTCATGCTGCTGTTTCCATCAGCGGCAGGCGGCCATGTTCCCGCTGCCTGTAGGAGCTCGGCGGTCGGACCTGCAGCCTCTTTATCCTCCAACAACCGTCGTTATAAATAAAAGACTTCTGTTTTTCTCTCTGGGGGGCGGAGCTTGTCAGCCCTGGAAGGCGTGGTATTCCTCCTCGCTGAAGCCCAGCCGCTTCAACAGTCTGAATGAAGAAGAAGAAGAAAAAACTCAGTGTTTTCCTCAGCATCTTATCAACCCATTTAGAGTTCAAGACAGCTTTTCATGTTATTATCATCACATTATTAGGATCAAATCACTACCAGGTCTCATCCAACCATGACTCAGCAAGTTCTCTATGCAGCTGCTGCCATTTCTGCCTCTAATGAGAAGGACCCCACGTTAAAAAGTCGAATGTTGGTTAAAGAAACCGACTTCCAGCACAGAGAATAGAGGCAGAATGGCTACCCTGCTCATGGTGCTGCTGATTGCTTCGTCACCTTCATGGATGAACTGCAGGCCTGTCTGTCCCACATGCTGGAGCTCAGTGGAGGAGCTCTGAAGGTTATCAGCAGAATGCTGCTTATGGAAATAAGGTGTTATTGTTCAGATAGAGGAGCCTTTAGCTGCACTGCTGGTTCCTCTGACCACAAACCCGACACTTAAGCCTCGCTCTGACAGAACTCAGCCTGAACAGGAGTGGAACGTCTGTGGCAGAGCCTGAAGCAGCTTAGTGGGACTTTAACCTTAAAGTCGGAGGGAAGCGGCCGTTCCAACCATCGCATTTCTTAACTCTCCCGAGTGGTGCACGACTTTACCCGAGTGAATACAGTGAATGTGATTGGTCGATTATCAAGGGGGCGGGATTGTTGTGGCTGAAGGTTCACAAGCATGTTTGGTTGTGGCCGTTTTGTGGGAAACATCTTGCTAACCAGTTAGCATCTTAGTGCTAGCAGGTTCCCGATGGGAAATTCCATTGGGACCAAGTAGCGCTAAATTGGTGACTTAGAAACGACGCTGTCAAGGAACGCTATGGACAGCGGAAACACGCAAGAGGAGGAGAGTTTAGTGTCGGAGGTCGTGGATGAGTCTCCTCCGTCATCCATTTTTTATTTAGAGGAGGAAAGCGGGGACGAAGATGTTGTGGAAGAGGACGCCAGGGCGGCAGAAGCTTGGTTTGGTGTAAAAGGCTTCCAGCCGTACATGTTTGAGCCCTTGCCTCGCAACGCTGCCAGTTCTGTTAGCTCTACGCCTGCCGAAGACACAGACGTCCATCCCCGTGGACACTGGGACGCAACTCAGTGGGAAAGGAAAGGATTCTGGTTTCAACCGTTGCGTATATTAGCTGCGACACATGAATCAAGATGCTATGACTGAAAAAATTTGATTGACAGATGACCGTTGATATATGATTGGCTGATTTTAGGTGTTCAGGCTGACGGAGAACTAACTGGCCTGCAGGAGATAACGAATAAAAAACACTGATTTTAAGACAAGATTTTTTTTTAAATAGAAATTTCAGAACAATATGGTCTGATAAAGAGACATAGACAGGTATGGGGCATTGCAGGCTAACAAAGAAGCCAAACGACCCCCATTCCAAAGGGGGGGACCCGTTCATCCGTTTCTATTTGCATGTTTTCTAAACTAAAACCAGGCTTTGTTGGGCTGCTGGATAAAACCTGGAACTAAACGCTATTTCTGACATTTTGGATTGAAAAAGCTTCCTGGATGGAAGAGAAACGTCTTCAAACTTGGAAACAAAGTCCAGTGGATTGATTTATAATTTTTTTGGAATGACTTTACTTTGATTTCTAATGCATTTCTACAGCGACAGATTGTTTCCATGGTACAGAGGTAAATATTTCACTATTTCTCTGCTTGTAAAGCTGTAGAGCAGCAGCCTCCTCCTTAGATCCTCTGAGGCTGCAGAGGCCAAGCTTTGGGAGTCCCTGAAACACAAACAAGGCTGTTTGTTGATTTCCAAGGCCTCATAACATCCAGCTCCTACTGCTGGTGGAGATTCTCAGTCATCCAGGTCACAGTCGTTCCAAAGAAGTTTAAAAAATCAATCCACTGGACTTTGTTTCCAAGTTTGAAGACGTTTCTCTTCTCATCCCGGAAATCCATCAGAAATAGTGTTTAGTTCCAGGTTTTATCCAGCAGCCCAACAAAGCCTGGTTTTAGTTTAGAAAACAGGCAAATATCCCACAATGCATTGCAATATGCTGCTGAAGATTCTCCGTCATCCCTCTAAATGTTTCTCATAATATTACAACTTTATTGCTATAAATTTTATGACTTTATTCTTGTAATGTTAAAACTTTGTTCTTTAAATAGAGAAACTAATCTCTATCCCGGCCCTAACACTCGTCGTAGGTGACTGAGTCCTGTTTGTAGCAAATTAATTTCCTCCTAATAAACCGACAGAAGAAAGACCTTTCCATTTCTAACATCTAAAACGTGTTGGGGTTAGATTCCCGTTGCTCATCAGCTCCTACCCGGTGGTTTGCTCTGTGAAGCCAGAAGGACCACAAACACAAGCGTAACATCTGGATCCATGCGGCCTGAGGAGGAAGGCCGTCAGCGCGGCCTCATCCACCCGACCCCTCCTGCCGCTCCAGCTGTCAGACGGCTCTGAGAGGACGTGCTCCACCTGAAAGCTGAACCGCACACAGTCAGACCAGGCAAACCCTGACCTCTGACCTCTCCTCCCTCCATCCTCTCCTTACCGTTCCTCTTTAGCTGCCAGATCGTCCAGCTGGTGGCGCCACAGCACATCCTCCTCCCTCTTGTTGAAGAACAGCAGCTGTATTTTGCTGTGAACACAGATTGAAGGATCGTCTGTTTAACATCTGAACTCCATCAGAAACGCTCAGAGCGAAGCGCTTCCTGACCTGATGGAGTCACTTTCCCGCAGCGCCAGGCTGATGAGACGAGCCATCGGCGTGAATCCTGTCCCTGCTGCCAACAGGTAGAGGTGAGTGACATCACGCAGGGGGCGGAGACTGAAAGGACCCTCCGGACCGCTGACCGAGACATTTTCACCTTGGAAACCACAAGAAACGCAGCTTAGATGGTTTGATGGAAGTGGAAAAATAAAGGTTCGATTTGAAGAACATCAACAGGAAAAGGTTGTAATACTGATGCTAACAGGAGAAGCTAAAGATGACAAAGGTCCCTTATTCTGCTTGTTTAAACCTTTAAAGGCAAATATGAGAAGAAATAACAGAAAAGCAGCCTTCAAAGTGAGGCTGCCTCATCTGTCTGTGTTTCACGACGATGCCGCATCATCAATCCAGACCAATCAGAGGCTGCTGTGCACCATAAGACATGTATAGACACCTCACAGCTGCACTAATGTCACTATCGTGTGATTTTTAGCTATCAGGCTTCTGGAGGAAGGAGAGCGTCTTGATTCTGGGTTGGACTAAAAGCTGAATATGGAACATGGCTCTAAAGGCCATCATCAGTGTGACGAAGCAGATAAAGGAGCTTTAAAAAGGAATGAAACTCTATCCTGGTTTTACAGAGACGACCGTCTCCTCCCTTAAAATCCTGAACGGATCAGAACTTTAAATCACAGACAAAACCATCAGGGCAGCCATGTTTTTTTCAGCTTCTTGTTCTAAAGTTAATAACCTAAAGAAAACAATGAAGACAGAAAAAACGAAGGCTGGTTTGAACCAGAAGAATGGAAGATAAAGGAGCTTCCAGTCATTATCTGAGCTTCAGATGGGAGCAGAGGAGCCGCTGGCTGAGACGTACCGATCTGCAGGCTGTCCAGGTACGGGCTGAGGACGCCATCAGGGTAGACTTTGACCATGAGGTAGAGGTCGGACCCCTGGGAGGACGGCGGCGAAGCAGCAACCAGACTCTGGTCCACTGGGGTGTACGGCCTCACCACCTCAGCACCTGGAAGGACCAGCAGCTGTTAGGGGAGGAGCTCCGCTGACCTTCTACTGCAAACGTTTAGTCTCATTAACGATGGCGGTTAGAGAAAAAAAAAAAGATCTTCTGAGTTAAAGGTTTGAATAAAAATCCATGAAAACCTTTTAGATTTCTTTCTGCTAAATAGAAACAATAAAGAGGAAATGGATCCTTTTGTCTCATCAATATTTATGGAATTAATCTCAGACCCAGTTAGGAACGTCTCCATAGGAACCGATGCTCCCCCAGTCTGAAAATAACTGAGACGTAAAGGAAAATCCGCTCATATTCAGAATCCAAACTTCTGAAAGTTCTTTAAATGTGAAATGATTCCATCCTGTTCAATAAATGATCAGTGTTTTTAATTCAGAGTAATTTTCATGTGAATGTGCTTTACTGGAGGCATCCATGTTTGTCAAAGAACACTACTGCCACCCACTGGTTAGTGACATTGTCACGGTGCGGTATCGGCTGTTGATCAAGTCCCAGTGCTGTATCTGGTGTTTGTCACAACGCGCTATTATCCAAGTCATCTTGAAAACATTCTTCTTCCAAATGTTGGCTACATATTACGGGTTTTTTCTCTGGCCAGAAGTTCGATGGCAAATCCTCCCTCTTCAAGTTGGCGATCCAACGACCGACCCGTCCGTGGAGGATCAGGAATCAGAAAGGTGGAATAACTCTTTTTTTTTCCACTTTTCCCCGATGTATTCCAGCATCCAGCTGCCATGCACGTGGGCATTGTCAGTTTCACTATAGCTCTGGTGAATTTCAATGGTGAAGTCCTCTGGAAATCTTCAATAATTGTTGTTGATTGCAGATGTGTCTAGTAGTTCCCATTGATTTAGCTTGGAAAGCGGGGAGAATGGCGCTAGGCTTACCGCACCGTGACGTCACTGCTGGAAGATGGCAGGAGGGAGGGGCTACTATATTTGGGCAAAAATGGCCGCTCCCAGACTCAGCGATCACCATGAAAATTATTGTTTTTATTTTTTTACAAATTAACGTTAAATTCATCAAATCGCCACAAACATATTAGTTTAATGTATAAATAATGATCCATTGGTTATTCTTTGCTGACCAGACTTTTCCTTCCTTTTCCATCTTCTGGAAACATCTGGATTCATTTTTCTTAATTTCTATTTTTACTGAAATGAAAACAGAAAGGTCTCTAAGCTTCAGCGCTGCCTTTATAGGACGACTCTGCTTCCCCACAGAGACGTCCTGAACAGGAAGCTGTTAGTTTGGTCAGATGGTGGCGCTGCTGACCTTCAACCACAGCTTTGAGGTAGACGTGTTTCCCTACAGGCACATGCATGACGGTCCCTCGTGGAAACTGCAGCCTGAAAACCCGGGTGTTGTAGTTGACCTGGGTTTTAGACACCAGCGAACATTCCCGATAGACGAGCCCTGAGAGGAAGGAAGAGTGAGGAGGAGATCAGGAAGGTTGGATCTGAGCGGCTGAAGGATCGCTGCTGGATGCTGAATCTCACCTCGGTCCTTCTTGCATAGAAAGGTGTTGTGAGAGTCCAGCGGCTGACCCAGGCTCGTCCATTTAGCTTTGCTTCCTTTGGGAATGGAGACCTGGATCTTCCCCACGGAGGAAGCAGAGCGGACTGGAGGAGATGAAGACAGTTTGATGTTAGCAAGGAGACATTCAGCCACATCTGGGTAAGAATGACTGGAAACAAGGAAGGAACACATCCAGAATCTTCTGCTAAGTTTCCTTTAAGAAGCTGAAGGTTGGAGGCGGATGACCTGCATCTTTTAGATGATCCTCTGCTTAAACGGGCCTGGATCAGGACTCCAGAGAACCGGACTAAACCGAGGAGGTCATTCATTCATCGTGTGACTCAGGTGCCTAATAGGGGTGTAAATCACATCCATCATGGCGATTCGATTCAGTATCGATTTCCTGAACCAACGATTCGATTATTTTCGATACTTAAGAATACACCACGATTCGATTCGATTAATCGGTTAATTTTTTTTTTTATTATTATTATTATATTTTTTTTTTTTACACCTTACAGGCTAAACAAAGTTTCAAGTTTGAAATAAATCAATGAAAGCTGTAATATCGTTATGCATTTTCTTTAGAAACAACAGCAAATAACAGAAGTAGAAAAGTTGCATCAAAAAATACTACAAAAATACTGCACAATATCAGTGTAATGAGTTCAATGCAATACCTCGGCTCCAAAGAAACTGTCCAACATATTTTTTTAGAATTTAATAAATATACTCAGGAAAGAGAGATGTTGTGTAGAGAGTTAGACAGGAATAAAAGTAAACTAGATATAAGGGAATTGTTTCAAAGGTCATCTGGGGATGTAGTTTTTGGTAGTATTTTTAATTTTCTAAGAAAAACGGGTATTTTAGGGAGAATATAATAGTTTGTCTGGTCCATACTCCATTCTGGAAGGTGGCGGTAATGCACCTATAAGTTGTTTGCCAACCGCCATTAAAAAAAAGAAGAAGAAGAAGGCTTCAGAGTGTCGACGTCACCGCCCCTTGAGAGACGCTCCGCTGCTCCTCTCCCAGATTGTAGCTGACCGCAAACAGCGCACCAGACAGGAGGGCGGCTTGTTTTGTTTTTATGACCGAAATTGCGGAAAACAACTCGTGAAGTTTGACCCGCTAGAAGAGCGAGGTGCGCGAGAACGCTGGGAGCCTTTTTCCAGCTGAATCTCCGCTCTTTTTTCCCTCCGTCGTCGGACTAAACCCGCCCCCACTTCCTCGCCGCCTCGGCCGTATCTAGACCCACAGCGTGTAGCTCAGACCACGCTTCCATACTGAGCATAATTTAAAAATGTCTGTGTGAAGCTTGCTGCAACAAACTGCTGTAAGAGTATAACCAGGAAGCGCGGTAGGAGGGCAAAATAGGTTTAGCGCCACCGCAGGGAGGGAGGAGAGTTACGCCCAGGAGCAAATGGATAAAAATAGACCGGATCGATTATCTTGCGGACGTGTCGATGCATCGGATCGTCGGCTTTTGGATCGATGCATCGATACAAAACGATTATTATTTACACCCCTAGTGTATAACAGGCGCCGGTACCGACCCTATAGAACCCGAGTTTGGCATCCCAGAGGCTTTCAAACCCCGTCCACCATGTCCCTGCCTGTCCTTCTTAGGACATTTAGTCAATCAATCCTATATTCTCCAATCAGGACCAATCAGCAACCTTGATTTGTCCCAAATGTGTCCCTCCTCTGCAGGAGTGGGCTGCTCTGTTAGCAGAGACGTTAAAAACCTGGAATAAAAGGCTAAATCTAGTCAGTTCAGAGAAGCGTTACCTGAAGAATTTGATCTGTTACCAAAACCCAAACAGTCTTAGAAAATAGAAAAGATGAACAGCAGTTTTCTGCCGACGGCGTCAGAGGCAGCGGTGAGAAACCAGAGCTACTGATACGGAGGTAACAAACGATTCCCCTGGGTTTCCTCTGCTTTACGTTCTATATTCACCCACTTTGGTACCTGTAAGTGTTTTCATCACTAATAATAATAAATACAATTATCTGTAATGCACATTTAAGAAAAATCTCAAAGTGCTACAGCTAAAATCATCATTATTATTATTAGTCCTCCTGTCTGTGGACTTCAGCGCCGATTTTAAATAAATTTACTGACCTGATGTTTGCTGTTCAGACTAAATGCCTCATTAAGTGTCTCATTAAAAGCCTCGGTAATGCTGTGCCTCACTGTGTCGCCATTCAAACTTTCCTGAGGTTGTCAGTTTTTTTTATTCTATAACACATTTTTAAAAACTTCGGGGGGGGAAACCAAAGTGCTGCACATAAAAACAGGGACCAATGAGAACCGAGGGGCCGCAATCTAAGGGGACCTAAACCAGTTTAGAGTCAGTCTACACTAACTAGACTAATTAGAACAAGAGAAATTAGAAAAAAATAAAACAACGTAAGAGTAGATTTTCATAAATCCCTGGCTAATAAATCCATATAAATATTGATATGCATTTTGTCTAAGTTGGTTCTGCATAATAAAATGGCTGCAGAGACACAAAATGTTCCCTTCTTCCCCATGAAGCTGCTGGTCTGGAGGCTCTAAACATGTTCAAATGGGAACAACAAATCACAGGAACAGGAGAATATGGGTCATGAGTTTGGAAATAAGTCATCAACCAACAGACCAACATGAGAAAGCCTGAAGAAAAACTCAAACATTTATTTTTTCATCAAGAGAAAAGAAGCAAACAGAATCAGCATCAGTTACATCAAGTGTTTAAAGATTTTCTTACCTGAAACATTTTCTTCAACTTCGTCAGCGAGACCTGGAAATAAATAAATAAATAAACTCCTTTAACAAATAAAAGGTGTTAAAATCTGAAATCTGGAGCCGAATGATGCTGCGACAGCATGATAGAAGGGAAGAACGATGAAGGCTAATGCTAACATGCTAACATTAACAAGATGCATGAGTCATTCTGGTTTCCTCCTAACCCCATTTGGACCAAAGTGAATTCTTTATTAACGGATCAAAACTCAAACCGTCTACTGCTTTCTTTAAGAAGTTCATTGGTTGAACTAATAAATTGTGCGGAATAGGAGAATAGAGATAGAATGAAGCAGAATGATGAAAAGGGGTCCCTATGTCCTCCAGCAGTCTAAGCCTATAGCAGCAGAACTATAGAGAAAGTGAAAACTGATGAAGTCAGTTTATTGGATCAGCTGCTCATAGACCATAAACCGTTACGTACGTAAATGTATCAGGTAGGAGAGTTTCCCCAGCAGAGCTTCCAGCCGAAGAACTCCCGCTCTGAGGTCGACGGTCACGCATCCTGAGCTGGGGATCTGAGACAAACATGGAGACGTCTGATCAGCAGCAGCTCAGACAGCAGATGAGCAGACAGAGCTCCGGTCTCTACCTTTCTCTTGGCGTAAACCACCAGATGAACGGCTGCATCCGTCTGGAACCAGTCGTACCTAAAACAGACGGCACACGGTGAGCCAGGAGCCGTTAGCTGCATCAGATCACACATTAAGCCAGTCTGATACCGAGGCCGTGAGTCTTTGTTGGGTGGAGGAGGGCCTGCAGAGGGCGGGGCCAGGCTTGATAGAGGCGGAGCCAAGGCTGGGAGGAGAAAACAGAAACAGAGGATGAGGAGCAGCACAGCTGACAGGTAACCAGTTTTTGTTGCTGGGATGTTTGGGACTTTTTCTCTGAATCAGCTCAAGATTCTAATAACTTAAATGAGAGGATTCAGAGGAGAGTCGAGAGAGCAAACGGCCTGTAGCACCGATAAACAGGGCTGTAACAACACATCCATCCATCTTTAGGATATGCTTTTGTTTTGAAGTTCACTAGGAAACATGGTGAACAGCTGATCCATTCCATTTTCTTCCGCTTTGTCTGGGGCCGCTGTTGTGTCAGACCAGCGTACCCCGTCAGACCAGCATACGCCTTCAGACCAGCGTACGCCGTCAGACCAGCATACGCCTTCAGACCAGCATACGCCTTCAGACCAGCGTACCCCGTCAGACCAGCATACGCCTTCAGACCAGCGTACCCCGTCAGACCAGCATACGCCTTCAGACCAGCGTACCCCGTCAGACCAGCATACGCCTTCAGACCAGCGTACGCCGTCAGACCAGCGTACGCCGTCAGACCAGCGTACGCCGTCAGACCAGCGTACCCCGTCAGACCAGCGTACCCCGTCAGCCCAGCGCACGCCGTCACACCAGCGTACCCCGTCAGACCAGCGTACGCCGTCAGACCAGCGTACGCCGTCAGACCAGCGTACCCCCTCAGACCAGCGTACGCCGTCAGATCAGCGTATGCCGTCAGACCAGCGCACGCCGTCACACCAGCGTACCCCGTCAGACCAGCGTACGCCGTCAGACCAGCGTACGCCGTCAGACCAGCGTACCCCCTCAGACCAGCGTACGCCGTCAGACCAGCGTACCCCGTCAGCCCAGCGTACGCCGTCAGCCCAGCGTACGCCGTCAGCCCAGCGTACCCCGTCAGCCCAGCGTACCCCGTCAGCCCAGCGCATGTCGTCAGACCAGCGTACGCCGTCAGACCAGCGTACCCCGTCAGCCCAGCGTACCCCGTCAGCCCAGCGCATGTCGTCAGACCAGCGTACGCCGTCAGACCAGCGTACGCCGTCAGACCAGCGTACCCCGTCAGACCAGCGTACCCCGTCAGCCCAGCGCATGTCGTCAGACCAGCGTACGCCGTCAGACCAGCGTACGCCGTCAGACCAGCGTACCCCGTCAGACCAGCGTACCCCGTCAGCCCAGCGCATGTCGTCAGCCCAGCGTACCCCGTCAGCCCAGCGCATGTCGTCAGACCAGCGTACGCCGTCAGACCAGCGTACGCCGTCAGACCAGCGTACCCCGTCAGCCCAGCGTACCCCGTCAGCCCAGCGCATGTCGTCAGACCAGCGTACGCCGTCAGACCAGCGTACCCCGTCAGACCAGCGTACCCCGTCAGACCAGCGTACCCCGTCAGCCCAGCGCATGTCGTCAGACCAGCGTACGCCGTCAGACCAGCGTACGCCGTCAGACCAGCGTACCCCGTCAGACCAGCGTACCCCGTCAGCCCAGCGCATGTCGTCAGACCAGCGTACGCCGTCAGACCAGCGTACGCCGTCAGACCAGCGTACCCCGTCAGACCAGCGTACCCCGTCAGCCCAGCGCATGTCGTCAGCCCAGCGCATGTCGTCAGACCAGCGTACCCCGTCAGACCAGCGTACGCCGTCAGACCAGCGTACGCCGTCAGCCCAGCGTACGCCGTCAGCCCAGCGTACCCCGTCAGCCCAGCGTACCCCGTCAGCCCAGCGCATGTCGTCAGACCAGCGTACGCCGTCAGACCAGCGTACCCCCTCAGACCAGCGTACCCCGTCAGACCAGCGTACCCCGTCAGCCCAGCGCATGTCGTCAGACCAGCGTACGCCGTCAGACCAGCGTACCCCGTCAGACCAGCGTACGCCGTCAGACCAGCGTACGCCGTCAGCCCAGCGTACGCCGTCAGCCCAGCGTACCCCGTCAGCCCAGCGCATGTCGTCAGACCAGCGTACGCCGTCAGACCAGCGTACCCCGTCAGACCAGCGTACGCCGTCAGACCAGCGTACGCCGTCAGCCCAGCGTACGCCGTCAGCCCAGCGTACGCCGTCAGCCCAGCGTACCCCGTCAGACCAGCGTAACCGTAGTCAATATGCATGCGAACACGTCAGATTTGCTTTTATCCCTTTAGTTTTGTACGAAAAATAAGACTTTAAACTACCTCGATGGGCGTGTATCACTTTAGTCATGCACAAAAAAAAAAACAATTAAGGTGAGATCACCATACGCTTTAAAAAACACCAAAAAGTAAGTAATTAAATGAGGTACCGTAAATCCTCTAATATAGGACGGGGCCTTTAGTTCACTCAGGTACATCTTGGTCCAGGCCATTATTGGAAGGAGGCCAGAATTAGAGGCAGGCCTCTATTTCTATTTGATCAAAACAGACGACCAGTGGAATGAATAAAAAACAGGTTTTGTTTCTCTTTGAACCTATAAAAGGTTCATTTATTGAAAAAGTACAGTTACCATAACGGCAAACAGAACATTATTCAGACTTCCAGACTTCATCTTCCAGAAGCTGCAATTTTTCTGCACGGCAATAAGAAAAAAAGAAAGAGAGAGGAATCTTGGCCAAACTCACTTGCAAAACAAAGTTTTTTAAAGAATTAATGGAAACTGTTCTGCCATCACAGCAGAATTATATTTGAGGCAGGCTAAGTGGAAGTAGGCTAGCAGTATCGTATATTTCAAGGGAAATTCAGAACAACAAAGGCCAACGTAATTCTGTCATTTTAACGCTGTATGGTTACCACCAGACCTAGCGGTGATCACATTTGTCTTTCAGATCGGAACGATTGGTTAAGGTCACTACGATCTCTGTGTAAGGATGGGACCTCCCATGCTAATGGCTTGGACTCGGTAGCAAACATTGCCCCCCTGTGGTACTCGTATGTTACTATCACAAGTTGTTGAGGACTGCCCAGGAACATTGTTGGTTCTATTTATAGCCCCGGCCTGTATAAGAGTCCGACAGCGAGACCGCCATTATTAGAGACCCGGCCGCTAATGGAATACAGGCCAATATTAGAGGATTTACAGTAATTTAATGTTGATTTTTCTTACAAAACTAAAGGGATAAATGGGTTTTGACTATGGGTATGCTGGCCTGAACGGGAGAGCAGTTTAAGCAGAGATGCCCAGCTGATACATGGTCGTTATTTTTTTTTTTATAATTTTTTTTTTAACTGGAAGGATTCCTGTTAAAATGGTGTGATCGTGGACAGCCACACGATCACAGCACACCCACAGAGTTCATCTGGCAAAAGTCAGCGAGGAAAATCTCACTTAGTTCAGAGTGAACATGGCCGACGATGAAGAAGCAACAGAGATGCTAAGTGGGCCGATTCTGACCTGACCAAGGAAAAACCATTTCAGGAAAGCCTCTTTCCCACTGAAAACAATCGGGTTGACATGTGTTTTTCGATGATGGGTTGACCCCCTATCTGTCATTCCTTCCCGCTGGCAGTAAAAGCTGGTCTAACCCCTCGCTGGCAGCTGCGGGGTCTCTGTCCCCCCTGCCTCTGCAGGGGATCATCACACTGGGTTGCATTGATGATGTTACCAGAGTGACAGAAATCAGGGAAGTAAACAATGGAGAGCAGCATGGCAGGAAGCCATGGCGTAGTTAGCGTGCTTTATTGTTTCTCTCTATTATCTGTCTGAATCCATCTCACCAGAGCTGCTCCAAGTTTATCCAAAGTAAACAGAGTTGATTCTGCTTGTTAGATCAGAGGCGAGTGGTACGGTGTATTGACATCCGTATGATGCGTTCAATGGCATCACGTAATTTAGCGGGTCAACCCGCTGTAGGAACCAGATCTTCTTGGGTCCTGCTTCATGCCAGTGACTTTAGGTTACATGATTGGCTGAACGTTGCCACATGATGTAAAACGTTGTTGTTGCCCTGACAACGACAATAACGTCGCTCAGGCCTGGATAATCCCAGCAGACCAACCACTCTGAACACACCATCAGCCCAGACACCAGAGAGTAAATATGCCTGATCCAGACCCCTGTAGGTTTTAGCTTTACTTGGTTCAAATTCTATATAAAAATCTGCTGCAGCCCATCAGTTTACTGTAGATGACATCAGCAGCAGCTCACTGTGAGTTCATGCTTCCATTTTCTGCTATATTCCACGTCCTTATGAGGTCCAGCCAGCCTCATGGGGGCCGAGGCCCCGTCCTTCTAACAGGAGACCAGGGTGAGGCTATAGGGATAGAACAGGCATAGAAAAAGAAACTTAGATGTGTTTGTACCTTTAGCGGCTGCTGCAGGTTTAGTGGCCATTCGTCCAACCAGGCACTCTTTCAACATGGACTCATAGTTCACCCAGCGATGGACCTGTGACACAGCGAGGGGGGAAACCAGTGAGGCTATACAGGTGGGCCTCTGGGGGGATCAGATGAGCTGAAGTCTTTCAGGTTTAATAGATCGGGGTCAGACAGGAAACCAGTTCTGATACTGAACTGGTCTGATTACGAGAGCAGAGCTGCATCCTGAGGAGAGCCTGAAAGGATCGAGCCGATGAAGGGAGGCCGAAGGCTTCTGGGCTGGATGGAGAGTTAAAGCCAAAAAGAACCAACGGGTCCCCGTGCTGCATACCCGGTCAGACCAGCATACCCATAGTCAACACCCCTTTATCCCTTTGGTTTATGCCTTTGGTTTATGCCTTTGGTTTATCCCTTTAGTTTATCCCTTTAGTTTATCCCTTTAGTTTATCCCTTTATTTATGCCTTTAGTTTATCCCTTTAGTTTATCCCTTTAGTTTATGCCTTTAGTTTATCCCTTTAGTTTATCCATTTAGTTTATCCCTTTAGTTTATCCCTTTAGTTTATCCCTTTAGTTTATGCCTTTAGTTTATGCGTTTGGTTTATGCCTTTAGTTTATGCCTTTAGTTTATCCCTTTAGTTTATGCCTTTAGTTTATGCGTTTGGTTTATCCCTTTAGTTTATCCCTTTAGTTTATCCCTTTAGTTTATCCCTTTAGTTTATGCCTTTAGTTTATGCGTTTGGTTTATGCCTTTAGTTTATGCCTTTAGTTTATCCCTTTAGTTTATCCCTTTAGTTTATCCCTTTAGTTTATCCCTTTAGTTTATCCCTTTAGTTTATCCCTTTAGTTTATCCATTTAGTTTATCCCTTTAGTTTATCCATTTAGTTTATCCATTTAGTTTATCCCTTTAGTTTATGCCTTTAGTTTATCCCTTTAGTTTATCCATTTAGTTTATCCCTTTAGTTTATGCCTTTGGTTTATCCCTTTAGTTTATCCCTTTAGTTTATCCCTTTAGTTTATGCCTTTAGTTTATGCCTTTAGTTTATGCGTTTGGTTTATGCCTTTAGTTTATGCCTTTAGTTTATCCCTTTAGTTTATGCCTTTAGTTTATCCCTTTAGTTTATGCCTTTGGTTTATGCCTTTGGTTTATGCCTTTGGTTTATCCCTTTAGTTTATCCCTTTAGTTTATGCCTTTAGTTTATCCCTTTAGTTTATCCCTTTAGTTTATCCCTTTAGTTTATCCCTTTAGTTTATCCCTTTAGTTTATCCCTTTAGTTTATCCCTTTAGTTTATCCCTTTAGTTTATCCCTTTAGTTTATCCCTTTAGTTTATCCCTTTAGTTTATGCCTTTAGTTTATCCCTTTAGTTTATCCCTTTAGTTTATGCCTTTAGTTAATCCCTTTAGTTTATCCCTTTAGTTTATGCCTTTAGTTAATCCCTTTAGTTTATCCCTTTAGTTTATCCCTTTAGTTTATGCCTTTGGTTTATGCGTTTGGTTTATGCCTTTAGTTTATGCCTTTAGTTTATGCCTTTAGTTTATGCCTTTAGTTTATGCCTTTAGTTTATGCCTTTAGTTTATGCCTTTAGTTTATGCCTTTAGTTTATGCCTTTAGTTTATGCCTTTAGTTTATGCCTTTAGTTTATGCCTTTAGTTTATGCCTTTAGTTTATGCCTTTAGTTTATGCGTTTGGTTTATGCCTTTAGTTTATCCCTTTAGTTTATGCCTTTAGTTTATCCCTTTAGTTTATGCCTTTAGTTTATCCCTTTAGTTTATGCCTTTAGTTTATCCCTTTAGTTTATCCCTTTAGTTTATGCCTTTAGTTTATGCCTTTAGTTTATGCCTTTAGTTTATGCCTTTAGTTTATGCCTTTAGTTTATGCCTTTAGTTTATGCCTTTAGTTTATGCCTTTAGTTTATGCCTTTAGTTTATGCCTTTAGTTTATGCCTTTGGTTTATGCCTTTGGTTTATGCCTTTGGTTTATGCCTTTAGTTTATGCCTTTAGTTTATGCCTTTGGTTTATGCCTTTGGTTTATGCCTTTGGTTTATGCCTTTGGTTTATGCCTTTAGTTTATGCCTTTAGTTTATGCCTTTGGTTTATGCCTTTGGTTTATGCCTTTGGTTTATGCCTTTGGTTTATGCCTTTAGTTTATGCCTTTAGTTTTTTACGAAAAATAGACCTTATACTATCTAAACGGGCGGGTAACCCTTCAGTCATGTACAAAAAAACTATTTAATGACTTACTTTTTGGTGTGTTTTGAAGTGTATAATGACCTCACCTTAAATGTTATTATCTTTTGTATTGACTGGTCTATATATGGTCTATATATGCTGGTCTGACTGGGTAACACCAGCCTGTGGCCTCCATCCAGGTCAGATCTCAAACATCCAGCCCTGCTTCTCAACATGGACCCACTGCATACTGAGCTGAACTCTGTACCTGGTCAAAGAGGTCGGTGCCGTCTATCCCTGCTGCCTTCATCAGCTCCTCTTCTCCACCCGGATGGTAGTCCATGTAGGGCGTCACGTTGTAAACCATCCCTGAAAAGACAGAAATGCTTCATCTCAGTTTTGTCTGGATCAGTGTTCAGGATTTTTCCCAACGGTGCGTTTTGGTACTAAAACATTTGTTCAGCTCAAGCGACTGCAGCCGTGCTGGAAGCGGTCAGAACCGGTGCTGCTTCATCCCTCTCTGCCCTGATGAGCTCCTGCCTGATCTCCAGCTGACTGATAGTGATGGTCCATTAACAGCGATGCGTCGGTGCATGCGTGGAGCCCATAGAGCTAAACACTGCATCGCCGCGCGTGTCGTTTCCAGAAAGTCATGTGACCGATCCAGGAGATGTTTCTAACTGACTGATTCACGTAACTGTGTTTGAAATCATATTTGTCAATATGATGCATCTGCTAAAAAAATCTTATCTTTTGCGGTTTATCATTGGGTTTTTATTTTAATTTTCTCATGTCATCCTTTTCCTCTCAGTTATCACTCAACTTATCTGAATTAAAGTTCATTTCAAATTGATTCTTAGTTTATTTACTGTTTTTACTGCACTTATTGTTTTAAAATTATGATTTAAATGCTAGTCCACATCCTCATTCACATTTTCACCTCAATATTCACGCTATGTTTACATTATCTATTGGCTGCATCAAAAAATATTTTTGGGTTAAAGGGGTCATAGAATGCAAAACCTAGTTTGCATTGTCATAGATGAATAACGATAGTTCAGTGGGTGAAATGGACGTACAGAGAAGTTCAAACCACATCAGCACCTCCTTTCTCTGCAAATCTCACCATTCTAAACTTCCACCATAAAACGGGTGAATTCAAACAAAGCTCGGAGTTGGCGTAAACTCTGGGATGTTGCCTTATTTGGTTCTGGCCTGGACTTTGTCACGCCCTGAAATGTACATCCAGACCAGCCCACTGGTTCACTCGCCTAACACCATGACTAGAGGAAGATGGAAGACAGCAGTTTAGCTGTTTAGCTACAGTTGGGTTTACTTCTACAGGAATTACAAAGCAGGAAGTTTCTCTATTGAAAATGAGCCAGAACCACGGGTGGAAATGCAGCGTTCCAGGCTGACCGGAGGAAGGGGAACATTTTCACAGTCTTCCCAAGGATCCAAAGACTCGTCAGGAATGGATTATTATTGTCTATCAGAAGATCCCTGCAAAGTTTGATGCTCAGCTGTTCATTTGCTCGAAGCATTTAACCGAAAACAGCTTTGACAATCTTGGACAGTTCAAAGCAGGATCTGCTAAACTTCTCTTACTGACCGTCACCGGGTCAGGTTCAGTCGCTCCGGACCAGCCCCAGAGCTGACGGCTCGGTTCTGCTGCACTGTATTCGACCAAAATCCCGGACCATTTTGAAATTCCCCCCGGACATTTTTTATGTATGAAAAGTAGGACATGTGGGGGGAAAAGAGGACGTCTGGTCACACTACCATATCAACAATCTGATGTTTCAGTGAGTGAGTGCTTGTTGCTTTGATGCGTCTTTGCTCAGCAGCTTTGCTCGTTGTAAACCAACCAATCAGAGCACAGCTCATCTAAATATTCATGATCAAACCATAAAAGGAAGAAAACCTGTGGTTTCATTCTAGGGCTTTTAACCAGGCTGCATTAGGGCTCATAGAACAGCTAATATGACATTTTCAGCCCAACCAATGTTACACACCCTATTAGAGACCTGAAGGACCAGATACCCTATAGAATCATTCTATCACCCTATTAGAGACCTGAAGGACCAGATACCCTATAGAATCATTCTATCACCCTATTAGAGACCTGAAGGACCAGATACCCTATAGAATCATTCTATCACCCTATTAGAGACCTGAAGGACCAGATACCCTATAGAATCATTCTATCACCCTATTAGAGACCTGAAGGACCAGATACCCTATAGAATCATTCTATCACCCTATTAGAGACCTGAAGGACCAGATACCCTATAGAATCATTCTATCACCCTATTAGAGACCTGAAGGACCTGATACCCTATAGAATCATTCTATCACCCTATTAGAGACCTGAAGGACCAGATACCCTATAGAATCATTCTATCACCCTATTAGAGACCTGAAGGACCTGATACCCTATAGAATCATTCTATCACCCTATTAGAGACCTGAAGGACCAGATACCCTATAGAATCATTCTATCGCCCTATTAGAGACCTGAAGGACCAGATACCCTATAGAATCATTCTATCGCCCTATTAGAGACCTGAAGGACCAGATACCCTATAGAATCATTCTATCGCCCTATTAGAGACCTGAAGGACCAGATACCCTATAGAATCATTCTATCGCCCTATTAGAGACCTGAAGGACCAGATACCCTATAGAATCATTCTATCGCCCTATTAGAGACCTGAAGGACCAGATACCCTATAGAATCATTCTATCACCCTATTAGAGACCTGAAGGACCAGATACCCTATAGAATTATTCTATCGCCCTATTAGAGACATGAAGGACCAGATACCCTATAGAATCATTCTATCACCCTATTAGAGACCTGAAGGACCAGATACCCTATAGAATCATTCTATCACCCTATTAGAGACCTGAAGGACCAGATACCCTATAGAATCATTCTATCACCCTATTAGAGACCTGTAGGACCAGATACCCTATAGAATCATTCTATCACCCTATTAGAGACCTGAAGGACCAGATACCCTATAGAACCATTCTATCACCCTATTAGAGACCTGAAGGACCAGATACCCTATAGAATCATTCTATCACCCTATTAGAGACCTGAAGGACCAGATACCCTATAGAATCATTCTATCACCCTATTAGAGACCTGAAGGACCAGATACCCTATAGAATCATTCTATCACCCTATTAGAGACCTGAAGGACCAGATACCCTATAGAATCATTCTATCACCCTATTAGAGACCTGAAGGACCAGATACCCGATAGAATCATTCTATCACCCTATTAGAGACCTGAAGGACCAGATACCCTATAGAATCATTCTATCACCCTATTAGAGACCTGAAGGACCAGATACCCGATAGAATCATTCTATCGCCCTATTAGAGACCTGAAGGACCAGATACCCTATAGAATCATTCTATCACCCTATTAGAGACCTGAAGGACCAGATACCCGATAGAATCATTCTATCACCCTATTAGAGACCTGAAGGACCAGATACCCGATAGAATCATTCTATCACCCTATTAGAGACCTGAAGGACCAGATACCCTATAGAGTCATTCTATCACCCTATTAGAGACCTGAAGGACCAGATACCCTATAGAATCATTCTATCACCCTATTAGAGACCTGAAGGACCAGATACCCTATAGAATCATTCTATCACCCTATTAGAGACCTGAAGGACCAGATACCCTATAGAATCATTCCATCGCCCTATTAGAGACCTGAAGGACCAGATACCCTATAGAATCATTCCATCGCCCTATTAAAGATCTGAAGGACCAGATACCCTATAGAATCATTCTATCGCCCTATTAGAGACCTGAAGGACCAGATACCCCATAGAATCATTCTATCGCCCTATTAGAGACCTGAAGGACCAGATACCCTATAGAATCATTCTATCGCCCTATTAGAGACCTGAAGGACCAGATACCCTATAGAATCATTCTATCACCCTATTAGAGACCTGAAGGACCAGATACCCTATAGAATCATTCTATCACCCTATTAGAGACCTGAAGGACCAGATACCCTATAGAATCATTCTATCACCCTATTAGAGACCTGAAGGACCAGATACCCTATAGAATCATTCTATCACCTTATTAGAGACCTGAAGGACCTGATACCCTATAGAATCATTCTATCACCCTATTAGAGACCTGAAGGACCAGATACCCGATAGAATCATTCTATCACCCTATTAGAGACCTGAAGGACCAGATACCCTATAGAATCATTCTATCACCCTATTAGAGACCTGAAGGACCAGATACCCTATAGAACCATTCTATCACCCTAGTAGAGACCTGAAGGACCAGATACCCTATAGAATCATTCTATCACCCTATTAGAGACCTGAAGGACCAGATACCCTATAGAATCATTCTATCACCCTATTAGAGACCTGAAGGACCAGATACCCTATAGAATCATTCTATCACCCTATTAGAGACCTGAAGGACCAGATACCCTATAGAATCATTCTATCACCCTATTAGAGACCTGAAGGACCAGATACCCTATAGAATCATTCTATCACCCTATTAGAGACCTGAAGGACCAGATACCCTATAGAATCATTCTATCACCCTATTAGAGACCTGAAGGACCAGATACCCTATAGAATCATTCTATCACCCTATTAGAGACCTGAAGGACCAGATACCCTATAGAATCATTCTATCACCCTATTAGAGACCTGAAGGACCAGATACCCTATAGAATCATTCTATCACCCTATTAGAGACCTGAAGGACCAGATACCCTATAGAATCATTCTATCACCCTATTAGAGACCTGAAGGACCAGATACCCTATAGAATCATTCTATCACCTTATTAGAGACCTGAAGGACCTGATACCCTATAGAATCATTCTATCACCCTATTAGAGACCTGAAGGACCAGATACCCGATAGAATCATTCTATCACCCTATTAGAGACCTGAAGGACCAGATACCCTATAGAATCATTCTATCACCCTATTAGAGACCTGAAGGACCAGATACCCTATAGAACCATTCTATCACCCTAGTAGAGACCTGAAGGACCAGATACCCTATAGAATCATTCTATCACCCTATTAGAGACCTGAAGGACCAGATACCCTATAGAATCATTCTATCACCCTATTAGAGACCTGAAGGACCAGATACCCTATAGAATCATTCTATCACCCTATTAGAGACCTGAAGGACCAGATACCCTATAGAATCATTCTATCACCCTATTAGAGACCTGAAGGACCAGATACCCTATAGAATCATTCTATCACCCTATTAGAGACCTGAAGGACCAGATACCCTATAGAATCATTCTATCACCCTATTAGAGACCTGAAGGACCAGATACCCTATAGAATCATTCTATCACCCTATTAGAGACCTGAAGGACCAGATACCCTATAGAATCATTCTATCACCCTATTAGAGACCTGAAGGACCAGATACCCTATAGAATCATTCTATCACCCTATTAGAGACCTGAAGGACCAGATACCCTATAGAATCATTCTATCACCCTATTAGAGACCTGAAGGACCAGATACCCGATAGAATCATTCTATCACCCTATTAGAGACCTGAAGGACCAGATACCCTATAGAATCATTCTATCACCCTATTAGAGACCTGAAGGACCAGATACCCTATAGAATCATTCTATCACCCTATTAGAGACCTGAAGGACCAGATACCCTATAGAATCATTCTATCACCCTATTAGAGACCTGAAGGACCAGATACCCTATAGAATCATTCTATCACCCTATTAGAGACCTGAAGGACCAGATACCCTATAGAATCATTCTATCACCCTATTAGAGACCTGAAGGACCAGATACCCTATAGAATCATTCTATCACCCTATTAGAGACCTGAAGGACCAGATACCCTATAGAATCATTCTATCACCCTATTAGAGACCTGAAGGACCAGATACCCTATAGAATCATTCTATCACCCTATTAGAGACCTGAAGGACCAGATACCCTATAGAATCATTCTATCACCCTATTAGAGACCTGAAGGACCAGATACCCTATAGAATCATTCTATCACCCTATTAGAGACCTGAAGGACCAGATACCCTATAGAATCATTCTATCACCTTATTAGAGACCTGAAGGACCTGATACCCTATAGAATCATTCTATCACCCTATTAGAGACCTGAAGGACCAGATACCCGATAGAATCATTCTATCACCCTATTAGAGACCTGAAGGACCAGATACCCTATAGAATCATTCTATCACCCTATTAGAGACCTGAAGGACCAGATACCCTATAGAACCATTCTATCACCCTAGTAGAGACCTGAAGGACCAGATACCCTATAGAATCATTCTATCACCCTATTAGAGACCTGAAGGACCAGATACCCTATAGAATCATTCTATCACCCTATTAGAGACCTGAAGGACCAGATACCCTATAGAATCATTCTATCACCCTATTAGAGACCTGAAGGACCAGATACCCTATAGAATCATTCTATCACCCTATTAGAGACCTGAAGGACCAGATACCCTATAGAATCATTCTATCACCCTATTAGAGACCTGAAGGACCAGATACCCTATAGAATCATTCTATCACCCTATTAGAGACCTGAAGGACCAGATACCCTATAGAATCATTCTATCACCCTATTAGAGACCTGAAGGACCAGATACCCTATAGAATCATTCTATCACCCTATTAGAGACCTGAAGGACCAGATACCCTATAGAATCATTCTATCACCCTATTAGAGACCTGAAGGACCAGATACCCTATAGAATCATTCTATCACCCTATTAGAGACCTGAAGGACCAGATACCCGATAGAATCATTCTATCACCCTATTAGAGACCTGAAGGACCAGATACCCTATAGAATCATTCTATCACCCTATTAGAGACCTGAAGGACCAGATACCCGATAGAATCATTCTATCACCACTTTAAACATGAAATAATACAATAACTTAAATGATATCTTGTTGTAGGTTATTCTGTCCAATCAGTGTGTTTAAATGTCCAGCAGGTGTCAGTATTCTGGGAGACAGTACAGTTTGGCAATGTGTGGAAACGCTTCATGATGCCTCATTAACCATCACCAGAGGCGTTTTTAGCCTATTCCTTTGGGGCGTTGAAGCAACCCTAATTTGAATGAACCCCAGCAATACTGTATGCGCTTATTACAATAAAAACCAAAGAAAAAGCAAAGAAATGTGATATTGTAAAAACTCTACAGTATTTGGTTATTTAACCCCTTCAATTATGTTCTGGTTCATCAGAAAAAATGATAAACAGACAGAAAAACAAGCTAACCAGCCTGATGGAGCTCCTTAACTAAAATGTTGAGCAACACTTTGAGGAAAACGCTGCATTCAGGTGTTTCTGACATGTTCAGTCAGATTTCTGCACCTATTGATGGTGTGTTGGTGAAATGTTCACCAGCGAGGTGCTCTAATGTGTCTGAGACTGCTTTGTTTCATTATCTTAAAAAACTACAACTCAATATCAATATTTTAATTTACTGAATCATTACTATATCATTATCATTTTTTCAGTTTCTAGATATTAGAATTTATCCTCTAAAGAGGGAGAGGTGTAAAGGAGGAGCAGAGGAGCAAAGTGAAAGGTCAGAAAAACCAGGTGAGAAAACAGACAGAATAGCAGCAGCTGTTAAACTGGCTAAGAAAGAGCATTTCATTCGGTGGGATATTTTACATTTATCAGGGAAGTAATGTTGGCAAACAATAGTGGAATAAGTTAATCTAGTAGATAGAAGTTCCCTGTAATCAGAAGTTCCCTGTAAAAAAAAGTTCCCTGTAGACAGAAGCCCCCTGTAAACAAACGTTCCCTGTAGACATAAGTTCCCTGTAAAAAGAAATTCACAGTAATCAGAAGTTCCCTGTAGACAGAAGTTCCCAGTAATCAGAAGTTCCCAGTAATCAAAAGTTCCCTTTAATCAGAAGTTCCCTTTAATCAGAAGTTCCCAGTAGTCAGATCCCACCTCGTATGCAGGTCCAGCAGTCCTCCCTCCGGTTGTGCCTCTGCAGCTCATCTGGGGTGACCTCCAGCAGCCGCCCCCTCAGGCCTGTCAGGTCCTTCCCGCTCTTAGCGAACCGGATCCAGTCCATCAGACTGTGTCCAGGTTTCAGGGCCACCTGCCGAGCACAGGGAGGTCAGCAGCTCCACAACAACAGGCGGACATGTTCCACCAGCTCAGGCTGAATAAAAGCTGCTCTGTGTTTATAAATGTGCTGCCTGGCAGTGTTATAAACACAGGTCGGGTTTTCTCTGGGTTCTGGGTGACAGAGACCCAGAGCTGGACCCAGAGCCCCGCTGCTCCCTACCGGCCGGTGGTACCTTGTTTCTCCCGGACTGTCCGGACGGGGCGACCCTCTGCTGGGAGCCCGGCGCTGGGAACGCCTGGCTGGGGATGTTCAACATGGAGGCGGGTCGGAAGCAGCTCCAGCTCCGAAGGAAACCTGTCCGACAAACACAGCAGCAGCAGCGGCGGCGGAGGGGTTAGACGGTCCGGCTGCTCCCAGCGCTGTGATGAAACATCCTGATGCTAGGCTAGGCTAGGCTACGGTTACATGACGCCTAAACGGCCACATTCACTAGAACTAAAGATAAATAGTCAGAACTGTCACACGGAGATACATGTAGAATGTAAAAGAAGTAACCATGAGTTCTTAAATAGATCTGTCACTCTATATTTAAGGGTCAAATACGAGTTAATTTGTTTTAGCTTATCTCCGGTAAAGAAAACTACAAAATGGCCCAGGCTCTGACGTCAACAAATCGCGACTGCGTCTGCTACGTCATCTGTTACACAATTTCCGAAAGCAGCAGCACTAAAACCAGAGTTCCTTTCAGCGGAATTTCCCTTTAAATGAGCCTTTCTGTCCCTGACAGCAGCTCTAAGCTCTATAGGTCTATACCACACACTGACACCAGGGGGCGACCAGCTGACACCTGGGAGGAAACGGATGAAAAAACCGCTGAAGGTGGACGCGCTTCCTCCTCCACATGATCCACTCTCAGTGTCATCTTCCTCCTCCTCATCATCATCATCTGAGTGGGTTTCCATGGTGGGATCATAGAGCTGTGCTGCGCTGATTCAAATATATCAACATCTGACCTTCTCGGCACCCGTAGAGTTAGAGAAAGATTAATCTGCTAAGAGGATTCCTAGACAGACGTCCTCTTCAAACTAAAGGTCAGAACAACGGACTGTGAATAGGGTTGGCTTTTAAGATTAGCTTTACTAAATAAATGTTGCAGTCCTATTCCAAATAAAGATCCTATTCTTTTCCCAGTGAGAGTTTCCCATTGATAACCAGATGGTTTTATGCATACAGGACTGTGGAGGGATGAGCATATCTCCATCAAGCACTCAGACCGGAGGACCATTTAAAATGAGCATTTGATCAAACATCCATGTTTTTCAGTGTGGGGGGAACCTGAGAGAACCCAGTAATGCACAGGGAGAACTGTGCAAGAAGACCTGTCACCATGGAAACCCAGAACCTTCCTGCTGCAGCAGCACCAACAAATAAAATAAATCTTAAAGAAAAACCTTCAGAGGGATTCCTTCCATAAGAGCGTGTACTGAAAGCACAGCTGGAAAATGACAACAAACCACTATGACAACAAACCACTATACACATGGTTAAAGCATCAATACATCAAAATGTTTTCATCATGCAGTGAACTACTGTCTGATAAAAGCTTTATGAAGATAGAGGGAAGGAATCAACTCAATGCTAAATGATAGCGGGAATCAACCCTTTAACGACCCCCTTTAGAGACATAGACAGGTATGGGGCATTGCAGCCTAATAAACAAGCCTAATGACCCCCATTCCAAAGGGATGGACCAAATAAACCTGGAACTAAATGCTATTTCTGACATTTTGAATTGAAAAAGCTTCCTGGATGGAAGACATACTTTAATAATCCCAGAGGGAAATTACAGAAACGTCTTCAAACTTGGAAACAAAGTCCAGTGGATTGTTTTTAACTTTTTAGGAATGACTCTGACCTGGATGACTGAGAACTGAGTAATTAATTTGTCCATCGAAAGCGGGCAATTCCCTGCACCCTTGAAACAGGCTAGAGTTATGCCTATCCTTAAGTCAGGATCCCAAGGCCAGGCCTGTAACTATCAGCCCATTAGCATCCTGCCTGTATTTTCTAAGGTGTTAGAAAAAATTGTCTCCAATCAGTTAATGGCGTACATACAGTATCATAAAATCTTACCTCCTCTACACTTTGGCTTCCGGCCTCATTATTTAACAGCAAACTGTTATTTTGTTGAACAAATAAAGTTGGCAGTAGACAGTGGGGAAATAGTAGGCGCAGTCTTTTTGGATCTCAAAAAGGCATTTGATACGTTAAATCATAAAATTCTAATTGCAAAATTATCCTAATTAAATTTTTCACCTAAAACTTTAGTGGTTTGAATCCTACTTAGAAGGAAGAGAGCAGTGTGTCACAATAAACAACGAAAAATCATCATTTTTAGAGATAAATACAGGAGTGCCACAGGGATCCATCCATGGCCCTCTACTCTTTACATTATACATTAATGACTTGCCAGAGTCTTGTCCAACAGCAGGTTTTCAGTTATATGCAGATGATGCAGTAATTTATGTTCGTGGAAACACTGTGCAAGCAGTTTCTAATGAACTGGCAGGACATCTACAAACTGTGTCAATGTGGTTTCATAATGCAGGGCTGTCGCTGAATGTCTGTCTGTTTCTCTTCTAGGACCAGGCCCATATCTCAGGAACAAAATTTACAGATAAATGGAGCTAGAATCCAGCAGGTCTTAGAAATCAAGTATCTAGGACTAATACTTGACTCACAATTGAAATTTGACAGCCATGTAAAAAAAAGTGTTTTGTGCACTCCATGATGTTTTCACATCTAAGTTACTGCATTAGTTCTTGGTCACAGGCCACAATCACTACTATCAAGCCTCTTCAGATGATCTATAATAGAGCTATAAAAATCTTAGATCAAAAACCAATCAGGTCCCATCACTGTGTTAATCTGAACAATTTAAAAATGCTATATTTTAAAAACTTTGTCAAATTTGCTCAGTTAAAACTGGTTTACAAATGCTTGCATGATAAGGCCCCGAGGTTTAGAGTGACTGTAGTTCCTCTCAGAGCTGTGGGCACCGTTCACAGGAGGAGCTCACAGTGGAAACTGTCAAGTACCCAGATGCAAAACCTCCTTCGGTCAATCAGCTTTCACTGTACAAGTCAAAACATGGAATACATTACCTGCAGAACTGAAGGGAGGGTCAAACGGGGTCTTTTTAAACATAAACTTAAAGTCTTTTTATTGAGAGGTCAGTCATGTGAACATTAATAATCTAACTGACCTGATCTTATTTCTGTGATGTTTTAGTGTGTAATTTGTTCTGTTGTTTCTTGTGTACAGTCACTGTGTTTTGTGTAAAAGCCTAACTGGGGACAGGCATTGAGAATTAGCCTTAGCTAAAATTTTGTAGTGTGTGACATGATTCATGAAACATAGTTGTCCCTATCAAATAAACAAATAAAAAAAAAAAATAAAAAACCTTCACCAGCACAGATGGGTCCTTCTGAACAAAACAATCAAAGGATGCGTAAAGTTCACCCCTCTGGTAGAACAAGCAGCTTCTGATAAAATAGATCTATTAAAACATTGTCAACCTTTATCTAATAGAAGAATCTATTCTGCTACAGTCCATGTGATGTCTTTCCTTGCTGCCTCCTGCAGGTGGCAGCAGAACCCTGAGATGATCTGTTGGTTTGTTTCTCTGCTTGGTTTGAGGCGTTTGCTGCCTGTCAGTTAGAAACAATCAGCATTCATTAAGAAAACACAAACAATGAACTTTGTTCTTTATGACGGTTATCAGATTTCTAGTGATGTAGAAATAATGTGATCAGATCCAGCCTGGTAGTCCCCCCCCCAGCTAGACCCAGCTGAGGGGCAGATAATTACAATTTCAAAACCATTTGCCAGATCATTACCTAGTAATCCTGCTTTTGGTGTGATGAGTCACGCGCCTCGTTTGCCACGGTGAGGGGAGTCTTTGGGTCCTTTTTCAAACATCGGCCAAGGAGTCCAAGACCCCGGGGGAGGGGGGGACTATAGGGGCCCCAGTGATCAGGGGGTCCCATCTGTACTAAAATAAAGAAAAGCCAGAGAACTAGTTATAGTTGTGATTCTTTTATCCATTTGTTCAAAACCAGAACTTGTTTTGATCGTTATATTTGATCAGTCTTTATCACTGATGGTGGGGCATAAAGTATTTAGTCAGCTGATGTTCTCTACCTAAGTTCTCCTATTTAGAAAGGTCAGCCAGGCGGTCATTTCTATCATAGTTTAAGGTAAAAGTTATATTCAGAATTCAAACTTCTGAAAGTTCTTTAAATCTGAAATGATTCCATCCTGTTCAATAAATGATCAGTGTTTTTAATTCAGAGTCATTTTCATGTGAATGTGCTTTACTGGAGGCATCCATGTTTGTCAAAGAACACTACTGCCACCTACTGGTTAGTGACGTCACGGTGCGGTATCGGCTGTTGATCAAGTCCCAGTGCTGTATCTGGTGTTTGTCACAACGCGCTATTATCCAAGTCATCTTGAAAACATTCTTCTTCCAAATGTTGGCTACATATTACGGGTTTTTTCTCTGGCCAGAAGTTCGATGGCAAATCCTCCCTCTTCAAGTTGGCGATCCAACGACCAACCCGTCCGTGGAGGATCAGGAACCAGAAAGGTGGAATAACTCTTTTTTTTTCCTTTTACCCGATGTATTCCAGCATCCAGCTGCCATGCACGTGGGCATTGTCAGTTTCACTATAGCTCTGGTGAATTTCAATGGTGAAGTCCTCTGGAAATCTTCAATAATTGTTGTTGATTGCAGATGTGTCTAGTAGTTCCCATTGATTTAGCTTGGAAAGCGGGGAGAATGGCGCTAGGCTTACCGCACCGTGACGTCACTGCTGGAAGATGGCAGGAGGGAGGTGGTACTATTACTATTACTATACTATAGTAATACTATTACTGCTAAAAAAATCTTGGTGTTGTTTTTGATCAGGACCTGTCATTTAAATCCCAGATCAAAGAGGTTTCTAGAATTTCCTTCTTTCATCTGAGGAACATTGTAAAAATGAGCAATCTCCTGTCCAGGGGTGATGCTGAGAAACTAGTCCATGCATTTGTTACTTCAAGGCTGGACTATTGTAATTCTTTACTATCAGGAAGTCCACAAACTGTAGTTAAAAGCCTTCAGCTGATCCAAAATGCTGCAGCCAGAGTTCTGATGAAAATGAAAAAGAGAGATCATATCTCTCCTATCCTGGCTTCTCTTCATTGGCTTCCTGTTAAATCCAGAATAGAATTTAAAATCCTCCTTCTCACATATAAAGCCTTAAATGGCCAAGCTCCATCTGATATCAGAGATCTGATTGTTCCTGATGTTCCTAACAGAGCACTTCGCTCTCAATCTGCAGGTTTACTAGTGGTTCCTAGAATTTCTAAAAGTAGAATGGGAGGCAGATCTTTTAGTTCTCAGGCTCCTCTCCTGTGGAACCAACTACCAGTTTTAGTCCGTGAGGCAGACACCCTGTCTACTTTTAAGGCTAGGCTTAAAACTTTCCTTTTTGATAAAGCTTCTAGTTAGAGTGGCTCAGGTTATCCTGATCTATCTCTATAGTTCTGCTGCTATAGGCTTAGACTGCTGGAGGACATAGGGACCCCTTTTTCATCATTCTGCTTCATTCTATCTCTATTCTCCCACTCTGCAGAATCTGTTAGTTCAATCTCTAACGTTCTGCTCTCTCTGCTTTTTCTCATAGTAGCTTCATCTGGTCTGTTCCTGTTTGGCTGTGACTCCATCCTGGAGAGAAA